CTTCAGATAATTTTGGGTGTTCCAACTATTTTATGTTCACAGTTTCTAGTTTATTTCCATGTGGTCTGAGAGCATATTTCATAGTTTCTATTTTTTTTTAATTTGTTAAGGTCTATTTTATGGCCCAGAATGTGGTCTCTCTTGGGGAACGGCAGCGTGATCTTGAGATAAATGGGTATTCTACTGATGTAAGATGAAGTATTTCATAAGTGTCAATCAGATCCAGTTGAGTGCTCGTGCTGTTCTTTGGTTTTCTGCATTTGAATAGGATACGCTTCATGTAGGATGTTTGGTTTTATCCTGGTTGGTGTTCTCTGTGCTTCCTGTACCTGTGGGCATGGTGTCTGTCATTAATTTTGGGAAATTCTAGGCCATTGTTACTTCAAATAATTGTTTCTTCTTCTGGTATTCCAATTATGCATATCTTACAATTTTTTTAATTGCCCCATAGTTCTTCAATATTCTGATCTTCAAAAAATGTTCATTATTTTGTGCCTTTGTTTTCCGGTTTGGGAATTTTCTATTGGCCTGTCTTCAGTCTCAGTGCTTCTTTCCTTGGCTGAGTCCAGCCTGCTGATGAGCCCATCAAAGATAATTTCATTTCTATTTCAGTGGTCTTGATTTCTATCATTCCCTTTTGATTCTTTCTTAGAATTTTCATGTCTAGATTACCCCTCTGTTCTTGCCTACCTTCCATTAGAGCCTTTAACATATTAACCACATTACTTTAAATTCTCTGCTTGATAATTCCAAGACCTGTGTCATATCCATGTGGTTCTGATGCCTGCTTTGTCTATTCAGACTTTGTGTGTGTGTGTGTGTGTGGTGAGGAAGATTGTCCCTGAGCTAACATCTGTGCCAATACTCCTCTATTTTGTATGTGGGACACCACTACAATATGGCTTGATGAGTGGTGTGTATTTCCGTGCCCAGGATCTGAACCTGCAAACCCTGGGCTGCCAAAGTGGAGCACGCAAACTTAACCACTACGCCAGTGGGCCAGCCCTCAGACTGTTTTTTCCTGATAAAAAGTCATAAGTTTTTGTGTTGAAAGCTGCACATGCATGTATTGGGTAATAGAAACTCAGGGAATTAGGCCTTTAGCACGATGTTTTATGTTAATCTGGCTAGGAGCTGGGCTGTATATTTTCATAACTAAAGTGCCTGAGGCTTCAGTTTCCTCTGGTTCTCTTGTTTTGTTTTTTTCTTCCCTGCTGTCTTTAGGCTTCCCTAGAAACTCCTTCTTAAATAGGGCCTGTGTCTTACATCTTTCTCAGTTATAATTCACTGTTATAATACTGGAGCCCTATTGATATTTTCATAAGATGTTGGGGAGGGGAAAATTTCTATCAGCTTGATTACATCTTAGTATTTTAGTGTGTTTGAGTCCTTGTATTATGACTTCCAGAAGCATTTCTTAGCCTTTTTTTCTCCCTTAACGTGAGAGAAAAATGGTTACAGACTGCTGGAGTGGTCTAACTGTCCTTTTCCCAGGTCAGATAAGACTCTGGTAAAGTAGTTTCCCTTAGAAAGTACACCTTTGTTATGGAGAATGCCCTGGATGTATCCCAAAATAGTTAATTTTTCCTGGATGTATTTTCAAATGGTTATTTTTATCCTCTCCTTGCTGGAAACATGCAGGGCCTTTTCTCAGATCTTCACCATAAGAATCTGGTGGAGCTTCTGGTGATAAATATAATGAAACCAGGAGCATCCCTAAGACTGGGCCACCAAGAAGTTTTAACTCTCATGCCAGTCCACTTTCAGCCTTCATGAATTCATCAAAATCACCATGGAAGTGTTCCCACTGGTTCCAGTAACTTCTGCTCCCGTTATGCTGACCTCAAAGGTAATTCTCTGTATTTGTCTGTCTCTCGAGATTTCCAGATAATGGCTTGCCCTGTGACCTCAATTCTCTGATGCATCTAAGAAAGTTGTTGGTTTTTAGTTTTTCCATCTTTTTTTCTTGTTGTAAGAATGGGAGTAGCAACTTCCAGGCTCTTTACATATTGGAGCCGAAACCAGAGTTCTCTAAAATTTTTATATGAATGGAATCATACAGCATGTATTCCTTCTCATGTAGCCTCTTCAGTCAGCATAATTATTTTGAGATTCATCCATGTTGTGGTATGAATTCATAGTTCTTTAGTTTTGTTGCTAAGTGGTACTCTATTGTATGGATTTACCACAATTTGTTTAGCAAGTCACCTGTTGATGGTATTTTGGTTGTTTCCAGTTTGGGGCTATTACAAATAAAGCTTCTATGAATATTTGTGTACAAAACTTTGGGTATATGCTTTCACATCTCTTGGGTAAATATCTCAGAGTATAATTTTTGAGTTATACGGTAGGTGTATGTTTAACTTTTTAAGAAATTTCCTATCTATTTTCCAAATTGGTTGTGTCATTACACACTCCCACTAGAATTACTATTCCATAGCCCAGCAAATCTTGGTAGAGTTTTTTCATCTGTAACCATCCTAATGATAAACAGTTGTATCTCAACGTAGTGTAATATAAATGAGAATGATTATCTTAATCATATTCAGTCTTGCAGTTAATGATCATGGTATCTCTCCATTTATTTAGGTCTTTTTTCATACCTCTCTGCAGTGTTTTGTAGTTTCAGTGTACAGGTCTTTCTTGGGTCTTTAATTTGACGTTAGCTTATCTAAAAATTAAGTCAGCACACTACACTTTCCTAAATGTCAGGAGAAGATGCACGACTCTTGAGTCAGAGACAGAAGACCTTTATTACTCATGATGCAGTAAGCAGCGTAAACATCAGCATGTTTGCCTCAGTTTCTCTTGCTTCTCCATCCCATTGGAGTGATGCCATGGACCCATGTGGATCCTGCACACGTAGCAGTTTTTCATTGCAAGTGAGGAAGACTGAGCTTGGAGCATTATCACTTTTGTAAGCTGTAAGTAAGCTTTCTCTTTGACCAGTGAGGACACGTTACCTCAGCTTGCCAGGTTACCAGTTATATAATCAGTCCTCAGAAAATGGCACAAATAAAAGAATGGTTAGAGGCCTACCATCTTGGCATACTCACTGAGAAGCATAAGAGTTCAATAAGTCCAAAGAGGATAGTTTCTTTGCACATTTTTTTGCTCAAATGTATCTTTATTTCATATTTAATGTCTTCAAAATGGGTTTCTTTTTAAACTCCAATTTCTAATTGTTTATTGCTAGCATATATGAATAAAACTGTTATTTGTATAGACCTTGTATTCTGAAACCTCACGAACAGTGTACTTTATTTTTGGCCACCACTTACTCCAGGCAAAGTGAACAGCCAAAGTGCCACTTTAAGTTACAACCAATAGTCATTGTCCTTCACCATTATCCTTCAGAGTCACCCCTTTGTAGTACTGTAGCGCTACAGCTGTCTACTTTCAGAAGGTATGAGAATATCATGCAGATCTATTTGTAAGCCAGCCTCAAGTTTTTTCTTCCTCAGTCAGCTGGTGGTAAGGAACTTCCCAAGAGGCCAAGAGACCTCCAAGGTCTCCACTGATTATATATTAGCAGAATCTTTCAATTCTTTTGGTGTATAAGAAATTTCCTCCAAGGTCATAGTGTCTACTTGCCCCCGAGAGCATGCTAAGATTTCACCCTATTTATCTAGTGGCCACAGTCTATGGTGTTGATAGGTCTGGAGGAACACGAGTATCCCCCTTCAAGGCATCTACCCCAGGTGGGTAATCACAAAATTTTCAAGCACAGGAAGGCTAGTATCCTCAGATACAGGAGGGCAAACTACTTCTAGTAGCAAAGGAGGCTGAGTGTGACTTGGGAGTTCAAGATTGTCAGTTTCATCTGGACCCAACCACATGTCTCCATTCTAAATTTCAGTATCTCATTCTTTCCTAAACAGTACCCTACCTTTCACATGAGAAACTTGGCAAGACTGAATTCAACAGACGTTGTAATTCAGCAACCTGCACAATTAAATGCAGATTTTCATCAAAATCTTAGTAAAATCTGACTTTTCTTTATACCAGAGTGAGAGAGAAGTGATGAGAAGAGATAAGTTCCTGAACGAAAGAGGGACTAGTAACCATAGATAATATTCATTAAGTACTTACCACGCGTCAGGCACAGCGCTGGGTCTCCATATCGAGACCATGCTTACGTCACTTGTCAGGACATTTTTATTTATTCTTTTACTTATTGTAAGTTTATTATTTTTTATCTATCGCGTGTCTTTATTGTGTGCTTATTATGATTACTCCAGGAAACTGTCCCCTCAACTCAGGCAGAAACGATCTCGGTCCTGTTCACACTGCACAGCATCAGAGTGCTCCGTAAGCATCTGAAGAAGTCTCACAACTCTGTAAGGTTAGCCCACATTATTTCCTCCTGTTTTTCAAGTTGGCAAACCGAAGCTTGGAGGGGCCAAATGAACTTATTCCCCGTCAGTCACAGGCAATCACTACCCTCAGTCCGCGAGTCTTCCCGCTGGAGGTGGTCCCACCAAGGACGACCCCAAACTCTGCGGTGAAGCTCATCACAGGTCCCCCCCGCTCTCCGACGGCAGGGACAGCAGGAACCCAAGACGACGCAAACCATCATCACGCCCCTCCCATCACCCGCGCGTCCTCCACGCGCCGGGGACGCACGCGCCCTCCCGGCCGCCCCGCGCCCCGCTCCGCCCCGCCCCTCCCGCGGCGCTCCCTCTACGCAGGCGCGCGCGGCCCTCTCCCGCGCGGGGCGGGGCTGGGGCGCCGGGACGTCCTGGCGGCGACTGCTGGCCTCGGTGCTCCCGCCTGCGTCCGCATGGAGCTCGGGCGTCGCCGCGACCTGGGCTCGGCCCTCGGGCTGGCCCCGGCCCCCGCAAAGCCGGGGCAGGAGCCGAGGCCAGGGGCCGGGGCGGGGGCGGGGGCGGGGGCGGGGGCTCCTGGGGCTGTCCGAGCCCGCCGCTTCGTGCTCTGTCTCTACCTGGTGGGCTTCTTGGTGAGTACTGGGCTGGAGGCGGAGTGCCGACCCCAGCGGAGACCTCGAGCCCCAGGAAGGGTGGTTTTTTCTTGAAGCTCTGGGGTGAGGAGGTGGAAGGGGGGCCGGTTGTAAGTCTCAGCCGGGGCTGGGAACCTGCGATCCGCCTGTGGTGCCTCCTACCTGTCACGCCTCCTCTTGCCCCGTGACGCCCTTCCCTCTGCACTTGGCTACTTGGCCACACGGCCTTGTTGCCCCTCCCGCCGTCCCTTGGCCCGGCCGGCGGCGGCCTGCCCCCCCTGCGGTTTGTGACGCTCCAGCGCAGCCTCACCTGTGACCCCAGATGTGAGAGGTGGGGCAGGTGCAACGCCTGCGGGGCGGAGAGTCGGGCTTCTGGACGAGCTGGGGCAAGGCCAGTTCTCGGGTGGCTGCTGTGTGGTCGCAACCCGCAGGCCTTGTTACCAGGCCGGCCAGGCAGGGGAAGGCGCTATCGATGACCCCACTTGGACAGAATTAAGCGTCTTTTCATTATGGCTCCTGGTAGACTGGAACATTAAAAAATGCAAATTACAATGGATTATACACACCTGCCTTTCGACAGATTGTTGGTGTATTGCACGATGCAGGTTTGGTTTGGTCCTGGTTTGTGTGTGTGTCCTGATTTAATAAGGACAATTATTATTGCTTTTGCACATAGAGTGGAAAGCTTAGAAAGCTGAGTGTATGGTAGGGTAGTCATCCATCCATCCATCCTAGAATTATTACTCCTAGAATTTTTGAAAACCTGCTACGTGGTAGGTGCTGTGGAGCTCCAATCACTAATACACAGCCCTGCCCAGAAGAATTTACAGCCTTACTAGTAAGCTTATGCTGGTAATTTGTGGGCCACTATTTGTGCGAACCCTCGATCACCTCTTCACTCCTCTGTCCAAGTCTAGGCTGGTTCACTTGCCCTGGTTGTGAGCTAAACTAGGTTAGGACAGAATTGGGAAAGTGCCCAGTAGGATTTCCTCTTAGCTGAGCATGAGACTGCATCTTGAGAACAAAAGGACCTGGTCAGGTTCAGTGTCAGTGGGAGGAGACTGTCTCTTGACCCTGTGAAGAGAGTCCCCAGTGGCACCGCAAAGAGGAATTACTGTTTTCTCCTCAGATGCAGGGTCAGACCACCACTTCTTCCCGGTCTCATGCCTCACTAGAGTCTGGATCCTGAGCCATGCTTAGCTAGGAGAGGAAGGGGAGGCAGTCTCCCTTTCGGCTCCTCAGTGCAGGACTTTCAGCTGTCTGTAAAGGTTTAATAATAGTTCTTAAGACAGTGATGAAAGCCTGTTTGCCACATTGCTGTAGGCTCTCTCCCTCCAGTTAACATTGCAGACCCCACCCCCAGGCTCAGTGCCTTGGAGTTGAGAGTCTGGCACTCCTGACCTCTGTTCCTTTCATCTTTTCCTTTGTTCAGTCTCAGGATGCAGGTGCCCTTCCACTCTCCGGTCCAGTCACCCAGAATTTAGTACGAGTGAGTGGGGGTGGCTCTTCAAATTTGGAAAGGGTGTTGACTGCCATGCCCCCTCTGGAAGGAGATGCAGACCCCAGCTACTGCTGCCCTCCCTCAGGTGGTACTACTGTGTGGTTCTGCCAGATGAAAACGATTCAGGTCCTCACCTGGAAAGTCCAGACTAGAGTTCCTAGACTTTTGGAACCCAACATGACCTAGAATTCAAAATAGTTAATTTGAGTTTTACAGTAAAGAAATTCACAGATCATTCATTATAGTCAGCCTTCCAATGCAGATTTGAATATTCAGAGCTTCTCTTGTGTCTTCTGTGTGCTGTGTACATGGTGAGTCTAATCTAGCAAGCCTGATGTAAAATTTTAATTATTCAAGAGAATCGTTAGGTCTCTAAGTTTTTTTTTTTTTTTTGGGTGAGGAAGATTGGCCCTGAGCTAACATCTGTGCCTGTCTTCCTCTATTTTGTATGTGGAACAACACCACAACATAGCTTGATGAGCAGTGTGTAGATCTGCGCCTGGGATCCAAACCTGCGAACCCCAGGCCGCCAAAGCAGAGCACACGACCTTGACTGCTACGTGACCTGGCTGGCCCCCAGGTCTCTAATATCTTAAGGGGAAAAATAAGATTTCCCAAAAGTTAAAAGAAAGTAGGGACTTTTTGTAATGGAAAATGTTGTAAACAAATAAAATATGTGCAACTTTGGATATCCTGAAGCGTCTAATGGCTCTTTGTTAGGTAACATCTAAGGAATATTATATGTAACTAGTTATAATATTTAATATATTTAGAGCTGTAAAGACCCCTAAGACTTTTGGGAAAATGGTTTCTGATTGGGAGAGGAAGGGAACAAGATTAAAGAAGTCATTTGCCAAAATATTCTGTTTTTAGCTCTTACCTGTGCTTCCAGGTTTTAGTTTATTTAGGAAGGAAGACAAAGATGACCCTTTAGGCCCTTTTTAGCTGGCATACTAAGATGCTGCTAAGATCTGTGATTTTGATCCCTTTTTTCCTCCAGTTTCCTGGTGTGATTTGAATTCCATTTCATCAGCTTTAGTCAGGTGATAATTTTTTTTTTTAGGTAATCCACTAATCAAGAAAAATTTGGGTTCCTACCCTGTAAAAGGTTCTGAAACTTTTGAATGTATTCATCAGTTCTCATTGAGAGATGTAGATGTTCCCTGAAAGCTTTAAGTGGACCCCTCTGACCTGATTTCCTTATAAATGGTTACAAACAGGTGACCAGTTGTGAAATTCAAAGTGCTCAAAGAGAGCAGTTTTGAAGAAGATACTGGATTCAGAAGAAGAGAGGAGTTGCCTTTTATAGTACAGGAGAAGACAGCTTTAGAACAGAACTTCCCGAGAGGAAGGAACTAGTAGCTGGCCTCTTTGGAAAAACATATTTTTCAAGCTCACAAAGTGCTAAAATAATGCTGACCATCAGTTTTCAGATGATGATCTTAAATAGCTTAGCCTATATTTTCATATTTATATCCCGTAAATTTCAGCCTACCTACTTAAATATTTATTTCCTGTCTTTTATTCAGAATAACTGTTTGAATATTAAATGACATGTGATACTAGAAATTGTTTTAGAAAAAAAAATCTTTGTTGGACAATTGAGTTTCCTTTTCTGAAAGATCCAGAAAACTCAACAGGTAGCTGATGTATTTTGAGTCTTTTAAGTTAAATAGAACATCAGTAGGCTGATGGGACAAAGCTGACAGTTAAGCCCAAAAGAAATTAACTCAGACCCAAAAGAAATTTTAAATAATGTTAAAATCAAACTAATAAACCGTAATTCAGGTAGTGTAAATTTATAAGCTGTTTAAGATTACTGGATATTATATATATGACCATCTAAATATGTCACCATGGAAAAGGGCCACTGAAGAGTATATTTGGAAGTTCACATTTCTGCAATTAGGTGAATGTATAGCCACGAGGAGAAGGGGGAAGCTAAAGATTAATTATGCGCCCAAAGAAAGTATGCTTTTCATGCATATTCTTTTTTTCTATTTGACTAGGATTATAGGAAAAGGAATTCAGGTCGAATCTAAAGAAAACTGTCGATATGCGATGTGTTTTTCTTCTAAACCAGTCATAGTGGGTAACCAAGTGGAGTAGAAATGAGAACAAAACTTAAAGGAAAAATTAAGTCTTTCTGGTAACTCAGATTATTAGCAAAAAGGATCAGTCCTTATCCCCAGAGCTGAAGAAAAGAGAAAATATATTTGGGCTTCTATCATGTGGCAGACCTTTCTCAGCCATTATGTTTCTTAATGTTCATCATTTTTTTACCAGGCAGATATTATCCCCATTTTTTACAGATGACAGCACTGATGCCTGGTAACATTAAAACCCTTTCCAAGGACGCGTGGTTGGGAAGTGATGGAGCTGGAATTGAGAACTGTCTGAGCCAGAGCCCATGCACTTGCTGTGACTTTCCTGCAGAACCTGGCCTTGCCTCACTCCACCAGCCTTCTCTCTCCTTCCTGCTTTACTGAAACTTTCAAGTGTTATTACCTTGTAAGGTCAAAACCATGGATTAGCTGCCTTCCCTAACTCTAGGAGGAAATTCATCTTACTAAGCAAGTGCCACTTTCCCAAGAGATATGCAGTATCCTCACCTCCTTTCTTACTTCATTACCCACAAAAAGATTTTTGGTTTTTGTTTGAGGAACTTCTGTAGCACCTCCTCCTTGACTGTTAAGGAGCAATTCTGAAGAAGCTGAAGTTAAGATGGCTTCTAAGTGAGGGCGATGCAGGCGTTTCCAGGTGGCAGCTGTTATAACACGTGTTTAGAGTCCTTGATAACTTTAACCTGATGAGTATAGCATACAATAGAATACAATTATTATTTCTTGTTTGCTCAAAATTTTAGATATTGGTTTTATTTTCAAAATCAGTTTATGATTAGGATCACCACTTTAAGAATGCCTAGGCTTCAGTTTCTAATTGGAGCTAATTGGTGTTGTATTGTTTAGGACTTGTTTGGTGTCAGCATGGTTGTCCCTTTATTGAGTCTTCATGTCAAGTCTCTTGGAGCAAGTCCAACAGTTGCTGGCGTAGTAGGTGAGTGGTTGATACTGCACATTTTCAGAGCACTGAATCTTAAACCCCCCGAACTACCTACCTGAAAACAAATCAGACTTACAGGTAAATGTTAGCCAAAGGCAAATGGAAAATGGGATAAAATGGATTTCCAGAATATTGAAAAATATTGCCCTGGAGCGAATGTAATTCGTCTTTTTCTAGACGACCTATTTTCAGAGAGGTTTCGAGGTTTAGCATTTTCCCCGTGCCACCAGGGACGGTAGGACGCTTACTGAGCCTCTGCGAGGAACCGGCTGGCTGTGTAAGCGTGGGTATGGACTCTGCCTACAGGAGCCTGTCACCAAGTGAGAGAGACCGGAGACCTGTCATCTCTGGACGTGATACCCGGCAGGAAGGGGATTTGGGGAGAGCCTTGGCAAATCGGTTGCAGACTTCCTGCACCACCATCTACTTCTTAGAGGCTGCAGGGTTTCTCCACCTGTGCAGTGTCGAGTCTCCACCCAGAAGTCATTGATTTACCAAAGAGGCACGAAATAGCAGGGGTTAGGACTGTGCTAATTAATGAGAAATTGTTAAGGCCAGCAGCCCTCAATCATTCACAAGCTGGATAAGCAGATGTTTTGGGACAGTTTGGTACATAATATTTGGTCAGTCCTGGTCCTCGCCATGATTTGTATTTCCCTCGAAAAGTATCCTTGGAATTATCCTGGACCAGCCTGCAGCGTGAAGGGATTTATGAGAGCAGAAGGGACGTGTTAGAAAGGAGGTAATGCGGTCCAGAAAACTCTGGGTTCTTTATAAAACTAAAGCCTTGTATAAAGCTGTGAAATGTTAGAGGCATAGGAGATAATGTTAACACTTTGACTCATTAGAATTGCTCTAGGATTCAGATGTCCCCTCCCCTGAGGACTCTGCAGTCCTCTCAGAGCTACGGGCTCCTCACAGTGGAAGGACTCTCCCGCAAGGCCCCAAGGGCGGCCCTGGCCTTCAATCTCTCTCCTGCTTACCCTCAGTTTTATTTTGAAGGCCTTTTATTAAAAACTGTATTACTTAGACTCTTTCAACTGAGAAAAAAATATGGGGTAATTTCCTTCTTAAAAAAGGTCTTCTTTCGCTCATGTTTTCCTGTTAATTTCTATATGATCGTTACCACATTAATCCCTTTTTGTGATGGCTCTAGCAGACTTTCTTGACACCGTTGATGTTTTCTGCAGGCTCCTCCTATGGCATTTTGCAGCTCTTCTCCAGCGCAGTGGTGGTGAGTAACCCTCCATCTGGCTTCTTGAAAGCGTAAGCATCCACTTCTGAAGGCCACCATCATGGCGGAGTTAAAGCCAGGGCTTGAGGTGTGGGCGATTAAGATACATGGTGGCGTTAGATCAAGAAGGGTCCTGCAGGCGTCTCTCATCCTTATTTGATATCTTAGAAGATGTAGGCCTGAAAGGGTTAGATAGCTTATTCTGGAAAGAACACACTGAGTCCGAATGAGAACCCACTTTCCAAATTTTAACATGTTCTCCCCATGATTCCCTGTAAACTTTTTACTAGGAGAAAAGAATGTAACCAAAAGTTATTACCAATTTTGTTTTTTTCAATTAGTTGACAAGAATCAAATCCATTTGGACTTCTAGGGTTCAATTTGAAGTTGTTCATTTTGAACTATGTGGCTTATTAATTGTAAAACTTAAGTGTATAGACAGAGGAGCCATTCGAAGTGGTTGTTTGTATATGGACAACATGGAGTAGAAAGACCCAGAGCTTCTTGTCACTCCTGCTTCTGACCACTCAGTCTTTGGAATTCAGAATTCTTGACTGGTCTGTCCCTGCCCTCTCTGAGCACTCCGCTGTGCGCTCCATTCTGGCCACTCTGGACTGGAGACCTGTGCATCCAGTGTTCAGGCGTTCCAACAGAACGGTCACTTTAGTCCCACCGATTGATCAGCTGCGACCTCGGTCTGAAGAGCTGGCTAGTGGTCGCACGGCTTGTGAACAGGACCTGGGGTCCTCGGTTTCCCTAAAGTGGTTTGCTTATAAAATAGATTTTATAATATAAAAGAAGTTTTGTCAGATTCCATAATGAATTCTTAAATAAAAATAGCTACTCCCACATTTATCTTTTTTAAAGTCTTTCATTTACTAAATTTGCGTAACAATGATAGTTTTATTCTCAGGTAACCTTTACAATGACCCAGCAAAGTAGTTTGCTGGAAGGAAATTATATAGGAGGAAATTAAGACTCACAAAGTTTAAATAATTTGGTGAAGTCACCTAGTCTCAGTATCTAGACTCTAAGCCCGTATTTTTTTCCTAAAAGTCATCTGTCATTGCCTTAATGATCTAAAAAAGCAAATAGATACTGAGTATCAGATTGTACGGGAGACTGACGCACTTGCTTGTAGGCAGCGTGTCATATTTCACATTCTCTCGTGAGAGAAGAATTTGGACCACATCTTAGTAAACGTCTTCTCTGTTTTATTTGGAAATTCACTACCAGAATACTTGATATATGTGTTTATGCTAGACCAGTTAATTCACAGTGTATTTTAATCATTCAGGCGCCTTTCTCCTACTGGACTCTGACCTCCCTGACAGTAAAGACCAGGCTTGAGTTCTTTCTTTATGTCTGTTACTAGGAGTTATCAGAGCACCTGGCACAGAGCAGCATTTTATGAATGGGAATTTTTATTGCCGGCTTTGGCCCACCCCTCTTTTTCAGATTGATCCTTTGCTTTATTATGCTTGTGCTGACGAAGCATATTTCATATATCTTGTGGCTGTAATTTAATGAGAACCTTCCTTAGAAATTCTTCAGAGAGAGGAATTCCTAGTTAAAATTTTCTTTTTAACCGATACTTTTATAAATACATATTTTAATTATAAGTTTCACGAAAACTTGTTAATTTGAAAAACAAATCTTTATGAACAAAAGCTGTACCATGTCAGATTTGGCTAATATTTTAAAATATATATATTTTAATAAAAATGACTACCATTTATTCATTACTTATGTGTCAGGCCCTGTCCTGAGCACCTTATTACATTTCATCCTCATAATAACTAGTCTCAACCACTAGTCTGGTGGTTATGGGTCTTTAATGACTCATTTTATGTAAAGCACATAGCCAGTGTTGAGGATGGAACAGAGTCAGAGCAGATACTGCTGTTACTCCTGTTTTACAGATAGGGAAACTGAAGCATTGAGCCCTGCCTCTGTATGTAATTACATTAGCTAGTATTATCTCTGCGGTCTGTGGAATGATAGGAGTTCAGAGTTGAACCCAGACAGCCTGGCCCAGGGCCCGGGGTATAACGACCAGGTTCTATCACTGCCCTATGAACGCTAGGAGGCCAGTGACCTCTTACCCAGATTGAGAGTGTACAGAATTTCAAAAATCCATGGAAATGAAAATCGAGGAAAAGGATTGATGACATTTGTAGAAGGATAACACTGTTTTGGAGGATTTACCCTCAAATGTGGAGTTTTATAATGGCTTATATCCTTATGTAAGGAGATCTTTTGGGTCCTTACGAGAAAGATAACACATCAATAAAAATGGGGAAAGGGCATGAACAAGTATAGCTGGCCTTTGGCGAGGAAGAGAGGCAGGCGCAGATGACATGGTGCATTGGGGAGGGAGGAGAAGAGTTGTGGAGCATTGCTGAGGAATGAGGGAGGCTGATGCAGTGTATTGCCCACCTTCCAGCCAGGTGATGGAAGTAGGGGTCATCCAGGATGTCACCCAGCACCAGGGACCCTGTTTTTGACCCTTGTCAGACAACACTCTATCACTATTATAGTCAAGAATGTAATATTATATGTTATAGCATTTTTTATTTTAAGCCAGTTACTTTTTTATGCAACAGCCTCACCCAGAACCAAAAATATATAAAATGAGTCAACGTGGAGATGCTGTCGTTAAGCTGGGCTTGTCAGTTAGGCTCGTGTCCATCTGCCCATCTGCGTAGATCAGAGCACTTCCAGAGCATAAGGAGACGGAGTGAAGCCCACTGCCCAGGGCTCCCCACGTGTCTGAGGTGCTGCTGGAGACCCAGTTCCCACCGTCTTCCTGCTCAGCCCTCCTTAGCTGGATGGCCGCCCAGCCCACAGCGCCGTGAGAATGCTCCCAGCAGGAAGAGGGAAGGATGAAGAGGGAAAGGCTGTTTGCCTCTCCCTTCCCCCACCTCTAAAGAACTTTCCAAGAAGCCTCAACCGTGACTTCTGGATGCATCTTTGTGGGCCAGCACTTTCAACCTGTAAGGGTGGTTTGTTTTGGCTAAGTGTGTTGCTCTGCAGTACTGAAAAATATGCAAGTAAAGAATGATCTAGAAAGGTGGCCCTGGAGCTCTGCTCTCTTTGCTGCCCTTTATCCCGAGGGATGTCTCTGTGATCCTCCCCGGGGACTCCATGCGGTACACCACCTTTCTCTGTGCTTTTCTTCCCCACTGGCTTCTGCTTAGGTCTTCGCTTGCGTGCCTCTCAGCTTTTGCTCCCCGTGGGTCCCACCGTACTGTGTGCGCCTCGCATTCCAACTCTCAGAGAGGCACCGAGGGGCTCAGCTAGTCACTCTCTGGGCCAGCTGCAGCCTGGGCTGCCTCCGCGGTGTTGCCAAACTTTCTTACTCGGAACAAGAAAGGTTCAGAAGGGAGCCCCTGCCTGGCAGGACTCTGAGGCTTCCCAGAAGTGGGCATTGTAACTGGCAGACTTAAATGTAAGTCCGAAACCATAGAACTCATAGAAGAAAACAATTTTTTGGATATGACAGAGTACCGGCAACAAAATCAAAAATAAACAAGTGAGACTACATCAAAATAAAAAGCTTGTGCACAGCAAAGGACACCAACAAAATGAAAAGGCAACCTACACAATGGGAGAAAAAATTTGCAAATGATATATCTGATAAGAGGTTTAATATCTAGAGTATATAAATAACTCATACAACTCAGTAGCAGAAAAACAATCCAATTAAAAAAATGGGCAAAGGCATTGAATAGACATTTTTTCAAAGAAGATATTCAAGTGGCCAACAGGTACATGAAAAGATGCTCCACATCACTAATCATTAGGGAAATGCAAATCAAAACCACTATGAGTATCAACTCAAACCTGTTGGAATGACTGTCATCGAAAGACAAGAGATACCAAATGCTGGTGAGGATGTGGAGAAAAGGGAACCCTTATACACTGTTGGTGGAAATGTGAATTGGTGCAGCCAGTATGGACAACACATGGAGGTTCCTTAAAAAATTAAAAATAGAGTTACTATATGATCCAGCAATCCCACTGCTGGGTATATATCAAAAGAAAGAAAGCACTATCTCGAAGAGGTCTCTGTACCCCCATGTTCATTGCAGCATTATTCACAATAGGCAAGACCTGGAAGCAAGCTAAGTGTCCGTCAACAGATGAATGGATGAAGAAAATGTGGTGTATTATGTGGAATACCATTCAGCCATAAAAAGAAGGAAATCCTGCCATTCGTGACAACATGGATGGACCTTGAGGGCATTGTGCTAAAGATGTAAGTCAGGTAGAGGAAAACAAATACTGAAGGTTCTCACTAACATGTGGAATCTAAAAAGAAAAACCCCACCAAACTCATGGAAAAAGAGATCAGATTTGTGGTTACCAAAGGCAGCAGGAGGGGGTGGGGGAAACAGAGGAAGGTGGTCAAAGGTACAAACTTCAGTTACACGATAAACAAGGACTAGGGACGTGACGTACAACGTGATGGCTATAGCTAAGGCTGCTGTAGGGTACGTTTGAAAGTTGCTGAGAGAGTAGATGCTAAAAGTTCTCATCCCAAGGAAAAAACAGCATTTTTTTCTTTTTTAGTATCTATATGAGATCATGGATTTTACTGTGGTAATCATTTCAAAATGTATGTAAGTCAAATGATTATGCTGTACACCTTAAACTTACACAGTGCTTTTATGTCAATTCTATCTCAATAAAACAAAAAAGTAATCTGGGCAACATTACATCTCAATGGTAATCAAAGAAATTCAAATTAGAGCAATGAGAAGTCATTTTAATCTGTCAGATTGACAGAATTAGTGTTAAAATTCACAGTTGTCAGTGATGGTGGGGAAGAGACACTTAAGCAAAAAAAGGCAAATTTTTAATGACATGGGATAATGTTCAGGTGTATTGTTAAGTGGAAAGGCAAGTTACAAAATACAGTGTACTGTATGACCATTTTGTTAAAAATATATCATGTAGCATGGGCCCAGTAGCATAGTGGTTAAGTTCATGTTCACTTCCGCAGCCTGGGATTCATGGGTTCAGATCCCTGGTGCTGACCTACACTGTGGTCATGTCCCACATACAAAAATAATAGAGGGAAATTGGCACAGATGTTAGCTCAGGGCCAATCTTCCTCACCAAAAAAAACAAAAAGTATTTCAGGATTATGAAGTATTTTTATATTCATTTTGTTTTTCAGTAATTTCTATATTTCTAAACAAACAGTGAATATGGTTACTAAGGATTTGAGCTGTAGAAAGTGACAAGAAATAAGACAAAAATGAAGCTTTATAAATTATACTTCATTTCTCCAGCCATTCTTAGCTACCAGATCATCGTAGATGCTTTCTTTGGTATCTTAGGCTTTTTCTGGGTAAAAATAACATAACGGAATTGAGCATCTGAGGATCTTAAACCAAGTTTCCTGATGTTTTCCACAGGGTCACATTTGGGGGCATTTCCATGGTGGTGGTGATTTTGCAGTGAGTCAGACCTTGGCTGTTCCTTGCTTTCCTCAGGGCTGCTGGAGCGATGTGGTCGGAAGGCGGTCGTCTTTGCTGGCATGCATTCTGCTCAGTGCCTTGGGTTATCTTATTCTTGGAGCATCTACCAGTGTGTTCCTGTTTGCCCTTGCTAGAGTTCCTGTGGGTGAGTTCTTGCCCCTGTGTGTGTGTGTTTTCATTCAAAATAAATCAATTATATGTATATGTATATGTTGAGGGAACCTGTCCCTGCGTGCCAGTGCCTCTTCGATTAGAGTTTGTGTAAAGAGAGTGTAATAACAATAGCAGTTGTGGCCGGAACCCCAGCAGCTGTGTTGATTCAGCACTTCGCCTCAGTCAGGCTCTGCTGACTAGTCCTGAGCTACGAACCTTGTACACAGCAGGGCCTGGAGCCCTCGGCGCCTGTCAGTGGGAACAGCTGTGCTCCTGCGGCGGGGCCTGTCTCCTTCCTGTCGCTCTCTCTCTACGTTCAGTCAGTAAGAATTTGTTAAGTGTCTTTGGCCAGCACTGTGGTTTCTCTTCTCTCCCTCGGTGAGCTTAGAATTTTGACACTGGGCTTCCTGACTTGAAATTGAGATTTACCGCCATAGGGCTCCTGCAGCTGTCTGTAAATCTGGCTATTGCTGCTGGGGATGCTAGGACTATGATGTGGTGGATCCTGGGTTAGTTTTCTGTTTCCAGACTGGTCTTGAATGTTTCTGCCGTTTTGAAATAGCTTTTATTTTGTCCGTTCATTGAAACATTTTGTCTATTCTTTGAGACACCACCTGTGCACGCTGTCAGTGTTCTGGGTAGGCGGGTGCTGGGGACGCTGTTCCTTCTCTCTTCACCTTTCTTAGTGAGTAGAGCCCTGAAGTTTCAGTGTTTCTTTCTCACCTTCCTCATTAGAGCGCTGACAGACTCTGCTGCCTGGTGGACAAGTTCGCAGCACTGGACCTCTGCCCACATTCAGTTAAGCTGCTCGTCTTTAACTAACACCTCAAAGGAACAGAGCATAACACAAGTTGTTTTAACATACAGTCACGCTGATCAGCGTATTTGGGATTTCTGCCCCGTTTCTGTAACATGCATGCTTACTCTGAAAGTCTTTTGGGTTCATCCTCCAAACTTCATGCTGTGCGTTGTTGTTGACTTAAGAAAATGCTCTTGAAGGACTTTGCTTTAAATGTGATCGGTCGTCCTAACAAGCCCCACTACCACACGCACAATCCAGCTGATGGCCGTTCCGTGTGCATCTGGTGTCCAAGTTATTGTTTGCTCTTTGTTTGAGCAGCAGTGTGCATTTCTACAGTATAATACACTCCACCATTGAGTGGTGAGGCTGTTCATAACTCTAAAGAAACAGCTGAGAGGAGTAGAACCTACATTTGTTACAGAATAGGTAGAGATTTATGGGGAGGATTAAAATGATTTTACATAATATGAAATGAGCCTGGTTTAAGTAGTGATAGTTCTGTTATATGAACATCATGCTCTTTGCCAACAGGAGAGCTGTACATAAAAATTCTTTCTTGCCGTTGGCATCTCTATAGTGTTTGGTGGTCCCTGAAATTGAGGGAGCCCTGGAGAGCTTTGCCAGGGTTCTGCTGCACACTGTCCTGTATCCTGAAAGTGAGCCTGAGGTTGAAGTACCAGAATGAGACACGTGCTTTTCCCCTCCTCTCTCTGTCCACCATCCCAACCTCTGAAGGGCAAGAGGAGGCTAGTCTGGGTTGCTCACAGGATGCTTACCACAGTCCTCTTCCCTCAGGTGTGTAAGGTGAACCCAATATCAATATCATTTCAAAAATAATCACAGAATTCCTGTAAGATCTTTTAGGAATCATCTTCCAGCCCATTCCTTTCTCACATTTAAGGAAATGGATCTAAAGAGTCAGTCTACCTAAGTCCAAAAGGGACTTAGAAGTTTGCTTCTCAAAGAGGCTGGTTATCAGGCACTGCCCAGTCTCATCTTGAGGCAGAGCTGGGTGTAGAACCCAGAATTCCTGTGCTCAAGCACACAGGCGCCTAGTGATGTACAGAGTGGTACTCCCTTCCAGGAGATCACCGGAAACCATTGTGTCACATCACCGTTAGGAGCAATTCAGGCAGACACACCAACAGCGTTTATTGAGTTCCTATTGTGTATTGATCAAAATAATGGACAGTCTCTGTCACCAGAATCCATTGGTCTGTGAGCGTGTTCATCCAGCATATGGGTGGAGGGGTGCATACAAGTCAGATACATCGGAAGTATGAGGGATATAAAGCTGTTCATACACTTTACTCTCTTATTAAGTCATGTCACAGCTTTCAGCTTGTTTAGTCAACACATTCACAAGCCTCTTGTCAATAGAAAGTCAGTTGTATTGGTTAGATGAGCATGTCCTCATGTCTTTATGTTTTTGCTCCCTATCCTTGCCTGCTCTAATGCTCTCCATTGTACTTACCACCTTTACATGTGTATACACGCCGACATTTACAGGCTCTTGAGCACAGGGATATTTGTCTTATTTTTTGCCCTCTATTCCTTGCCTTATGCTCAGGGTCAGGGTCAGGGTTAGTGCTGGACATGTAGTAGGCATCAGTAAATGTTTATTCGCTGATTGAATGGACAAAGAAAGATAAGTCTCTACATAGAAAGCAGCATGAATTGCACTTGGATAACAGGGAGGACTGGAGATACGGGGATGTCATGATGGGAGTTGTGCAAGCTGAGGGTTCAGGAGCTTGGTTACCAGAGAGAAGCTGATGACCTAGGGTCATGGGGCTAGACGAGGAGTCCAGTCACCGTGGGCTGGAACCTGCAGGCTGTAGAGGTTCAAAGAAAATGGAGGTCAGAACTCCATCATGGGTAGAAATGGAGTGCAAGATCACAAGCGAGACACTTTTGATGTGGAAAATGTTACAGAGCACGTTTCTTGTCCTCTTGCAGGTATTTTTAAACACACTCTCTCCATTTCAAGGGCTCTGCTTTCTGATCTGGTTGCAGAGAAGGAACGGCCACTAGTAATTGGACGATTCAATACAGCATCCAGTGTGGGCTTCATCTTGGGCCCCATGGTCGGTGGATATCTCACTGAATTAGATGATGGATTTTATCTAACAGCCTTCATCTGTTTTTCTGTCTTCATTCTCAATGCTGGTAAGTTGACATTTAATCATGACAAGATTGTTTGGTTTATATGTTCATGCTGACCAATCTACCTACTTTTCTCTTAGCTCCTTACGATTTGTTTGTCTTAGAATAGGCACACTATTATTTGAATTGCACGTCAGCCCATGCCGCTCTTGCTGCTGACCCCTCGTGACTTCCATCACGCTGAGGTGCAGCCAGCATGGTGGTGGGCGCCCCCGCCCCGCTGTCCCGTCTGTGTGCTCAGCCGCTCTGGCGTCCTGGTCAGTCCCGGGCATGCCAGGCTTGTTCCCCCGGGGGCATGGTCCTTTGCTCTTTCCTCCGCATGCAACATTCTTCCCACACATCTGTACTGGCTCTTCTTATCGTTCAAATCGCAAATATTTGCTTTCTTAGACCTCCCCTGAGGTTATTTTTTGTCTAAAATAACTCAGTTTTCTTCATAACACTTCTGAAATTGATTTTTAATTTGTTTTCTTGTTTATGTTCTGTCTGTCCCAACCCCTCCCCCTGAAAAACCCCACACAATTAGAAAGTCAACTCCACAAGGGTACGGATTTGCTCGCTGCTGTCACCCCTGCCCAGAACCAGTCCTACAGCCCATGTTCAAAAGTATTTGATGACTAAAAGAATACATGTGGGACTGTGAATTCCTCGGTTACAAGACTAGTTTCTCAAAGCGAAGAGGATGAACCTGTGCCCACAGACTGGTACATGGCTGACCCTTAGAAAAACAACTTGGTAAACAAGAGGATTGATGCTGTTCAGTTTTTGTTAAATTTGATGATATTCTACTATACTGCAACTTGTTGAATCTTCGTATTCAAGGCTCCACGTTGAGTGATGAATTCCCTGCTGGGTTAGGATATCAGACTCAGGAAGCAAAGTTCGTGAGTTTAATCTCAATCCTTACAGGAATGCTTTATGATTTTCTGCCCAACTTTAACCTGTAACATCAGCCAGGAGGTGAGGTCTGATGGAGTAGTATAAATCTAGATAAAATGCCTTCAAGCACATGGCCAGTTGGCGTGGCCAGGTACCTTCCCACATAATGGAAGGCGCATGAACGTCATATCACTAGAAGTCGGAAGCTATGGAGTTCTATATTCCCATATTATGGAGTTCTCATATTATGGAGTTCTCATATTATGGAGTTCTCATATTATGGAGTTCTCATATTATGGAGTTGTGTTTTGGATTCCCTAACTTTAGTGCTGTTTAGTATTTTGCCCTAAACTAAGCCTGTGAATGACTGAGTCAGTTAGGAAGACATTCTGCTGCAAGTGTTCCCAAGTACAATGGCTTAATTTCCCCGTCTGGAAAACAGCGGGGTAGGCAGGCCGAGGCTGATGCAGGGAAGAGCAGAGGAGGAGGAGGAGAGCGATGGGATTGGACCCAGCAGCGCCTCCCGGCGGGCCGCCGCCTCCCAGTGCAGTGAGCACAGGGACTGCTCCGTACTCCCATTCTGCTGTGCTGGCCTCCTCAACAACGGCGCTGTTTCCACAGCCCTTCTCCCCCTTCAGCGTCTCAGGTCCTCCTTCTGATCTGCCGCTTTGCCTGAGAAAGGCCTTTCATGTCTTTTGTCCATGATTTCTCTTTTCGTGATTAACAGTTCAGACTCTGGAGTGCAACAGGCTTGGGTTCAAATCCCTGCTCTGCCACTTTTCAGTGCAGGCCTTGGGTGAGTTGCCTCACTTTCCTCATCTATAAAACGGGGTACCACCACTCATAGACCTGTAACGGTGACTAGGAGAGTTTGGCGTATAAGCACTTGACCCCACTGCCTTACATATGGTAAGCACTCAATAAATGTTAGTTGCTGTCACATTATCATTTTTACTATTATTTTAATTACACTCTTTGTTTAGTCTATCAGTGACAGTTCTTTCACATTTTATCAAGATTCTGTGAAATGTCGAAGGGCCCTTTTAAAGATAAGAACAGATGAAAAATAAGGCCTGCATTCTCGTGCAGTTTTCCATCATAAACTGCTCCCTGGCTAATAGTCCAGCTACACTATATTTGAAGAAAGCACGTCCACAACTGTAGTTGCTGAAAACATCACGAAGCAGCACTGAACAGCCACGGGTCCAGGTTGGACTTAAGAGCTGAAGGACTGAAAACCCAGTGGGGATAAGTTTGGAAGATGTCCGAGAATGGCAAGCTTGAATTTAGTTTTAAGAAAATTTGGGGGCATGGATTGGCAAGAGGTCATTCTGCTTGGATGGCAGATAAAATACCTGAGGCAGGAACGTGCTGGTCACATGAGGGTGGGGGTAGGATTATCTGAATAGGATCGGAGCTACTGACTTGTGCATGCCCCGCCTCACAACCTCTGGGGGTGCCGCCCTCAGCATAGCACTCACCTTGTAATCTAATTTGTCCTCTTGTCCAAACCCCCTTTTAGATGTCAGTTCCTTGCAGGCACAGATTTATTGGGCCTTGTCTTGTTTTTTAATATATTTCTAGTGTTTAGCATAGGATTTAGCATTTAGAAAGCATAAGTAATCACTGTTTGGATGGATGAAGGATGGATGGTGAATGAAAGGGTAGGCAGGTGGCAGATAGGAAGAGAATTAGAAAGGTAACGAAGCAACGGATTTAAATGTAAAGTGTAAGAATTTAGATGTGAAATGATGGGCTAGAGGAAACCATCGTAGGCACTTGAGCTGGGCAACAAAGTGAGTCTTCTGTAGTATGGGTTTTTCCTTAAGATGAATAGCAGAATTCTTACATCGAAATGGAGCATAAGTAGCTGTGGGAATGGTTAAAAACTGGATTCAAAAATACAGATTAGTAAATTTACTAATACGAAAATATAGAACAGTAATCTAATACAAATAATTGCTTATCCCCCATGGAGATGAATTCAGTGCATTAGCCTACTGTAACACATCTGATGCCATTTTAACAGGTCTCGTTTGGCTATTTCCATGGAGTGAAGTAAAACTCAACAGTACGAAGCATGGCCTGCGACTGGGTAAGAGCCATGCACTTTTGGGCAAGACGGACCGTGAGGTGCAGGAAGCAGCCACCCGCCGTGGGACCACAGTGAGTGGGAAGCCTGCCCGGCTGCCCTGGATGGAAGTCGTGTCAACGTTGCGGGACATGAAGAGCCTGATCGTTTCTGAAATGTGGGACATATTTCTTGTGCGCTTGCTGATGGGGGTGGCGGTCATGCTGTACTACAGTAACTTTGTCTTGGCCCTCGAGGAGCGCTTTGGGGTGAGGCCCAAGACGACGGGCTACCTCATCAGTTACAGCAGCGCCCTGGGGGCCCTGGCTGGCTTCACCCTGGGGCCCATCCTGCGTCTGTACAAGCACAATTCCCACGCAGTCCTGCTGCACTCCAGCGTGCTCACCTTCACGCTGCTGTTGCTCTACTCAACGGCCCACACCATGGGCATTGTCGTCTTCTCCTCCACGCTCCTGTCCTTCTCCACTGCCATTGGCAGGACTTGCATCACGGACCTCCAGCTGACCGTGGGCGGGGCCCAGGCCAGTGGCACCCTCATCGGCATGGGGCAGTCTGTGACGGCCGTGGGCCGGGTCATCGCCCCCCTCCTCTCGGGAGTGGCCCAGGAGGTTAGCCCTTGTGGCCCTCCCAGCCTGGGGGCTGCCTTAGCCTTGGTGGCTATTATCGTAATGTCAGTAAGCAGACCTCGCTGTGGTGGTGATGGGAGTGATAAATTAAAAAGTGAGTAGACTGGATTTGGACAACAGAAGGCATCAATCTGAGTGTTGGTGAGGGACAGAGGCTGTGGTGAGAGCGTGCTTTGGGGAGGGCAGGTGGTGTCAGTGAAATCACTTCCTTCCGGGTGGGTGTCCTTTGTTGGTCACGTCCAGGTCAGCCCTCAGCTCTGCATTTAGGCCTGTGCGATGATCAGGAAGTCACAACGGCCCGGAGGAAGATTAGGATTGCAGCAAAGCTTCGCCAAAGGGGAAGGTATTTTATGTCTACCTGAGAGTCTCCTCTTCCCACCTGGGCCGCTGAGGTTAAAATTTTCAAGGGGAAAAAGCTGCCAGCTGCAGGGTAGGGAAACAGTGGTGGGATGACAGAACGTGATATATATGCAAGAGGAGACCACAAGGATTTCCCAACTAGGTAAGGATAGGGTAACAGTTAATAAAATGTCAACCAGCTGGGACACGGGTTTCCTGTTCAATTCCATAAGCTAAGAGGGAGCTTTTCTGCTGTCAGAATCCTAGAGCTTGAAGAAGCTGCCTTATTAAACCCAGCCTGTTGCTTTCACAAGTCCTAACAAGGTTATGAATGGTTCCACCTGGGCAGCTGGTTAAAAATCAGATGCGCGGCCTCACGCCTGAGCCTGAGTCCGTGGGCCTCCGTGAGGCCAGAAATCTAGTGTATTTCGTAAGCGCCACTTCCATGGAGGTAGAAAAAGGGAGATTCTGAGACGTACTAGTTTTGATTAAAGCAAAAGCCAGAGACTTGATTGTTTTTGTTGATAGCTAACTCAGTTTGAACTGTCTGTTAAAATTATGCACAGTGTGTTACATTTTCCCCAGCTCTTAGCAGTTATACCTCGTAACAGGAGAAGCAGGTTCCTGGGGCCTGCTCCCTGTGTCCATTCGCTCTGAGGCCACACGCTGCGAGGAGCTGAGCTTGTCAGTCTGAGCCCATCTGCCTGGGTGTTGGGCCTGATGATCTGCTCCCAGAAGCCGGCGCTCCTTCGGGCGGCAGCAGCCTGGGGGTGATGGGAGCCCGGTGGAGAAGCCAAAGCGCAGGAATGCTTTTAAGACGAACATTTCATGCAGAGTAAGGAGGAGAGTCAGGGGTCATACGATATCAGTGGCAACTTATTCGACAGTGTCGTGTGTTGAAAATCGTTTCCTTTATCTCACTTCACTGTCACACCTGCAAACAGAAGAGCCATGTCATCTACAGGGAAGTGTTTTGGGCCTTGTCCTGGGCCTGAATTGCCACTCCAGAAGCAGCCCCGAGGGGCCAGCCGAGGGCAGCACCGGCTCGCAGGGAGGACGTGCAGGGTACTTGCTGGCTGTTTGGATGACAATTACTAATAAAAATTATTTAGGGGCTCCCTCTCTTTTCCCCACGCAGATGACCAATGCCCAGATTCTTTCAGTCCTCTAATGAGTCCACTGGGATATCATTCCTGTTTCCAACCTAACACGGATATAATTGTAAATGGTATTTTAATATGCTAATTTGTTATAACTTTAATACTGTATGTAAAGCAGAAAAAATATTTCCATAGTTTTAGAAGTTGTATATGGGGTAAACTCAAATATTTGTGATAGAGAATTAATTGGAGGTTTGAAAGTTCTCCTTTTCCTGTCTAGCTACAAGAAAAGTATTAACTTTTTATTAAATATTGTAATTGTGGACTTTTATACAAGTGCTAAGTGCTTTTAAAGTGACCGAAATATGATGTAAAATGGCCTTGCCCTTAAGGAGCATATCAAATTGTGGTGGAAGTTAGACTCAAAAGGACAGTAAATAAGAGTTTATGCAGCAAAGTAGAACTTCAGAAGAATTTTCTCCAAAATTTGTCTTTTTTTCATTTTCAGAAATAGGCAAGTTTCTTAGATGATCTTAAATATAACCATGTTTTTATTTTTAAAATCACAGCACTTTGTGAAGTTAAAAAAAGCCTATAAACTTAGTGAGGCTCTATAATTAATCATACACATGGAAATACTAAGAGCTGAAGATTGATCTTAGTATAAGTAGGGAAACGTTTTTGTTATTTTCCACTCCTGATGTTAGTATTTTGTTCCTGTGATTTTTTTAGATAAATATTTTCTTATGGTTCCTCTTAAACAGCCTGATGTGTTGCTCCTTAAAGTGTGGTCTGGGACCAGAGCGTCAGCTTCCCTGGGGCTTGTCAGACATGCAGACAGGTCCCCCTCAGACCTGCGGGGACTGTTGTCACAAGGTTCCTAGCTGCTTTGTGTGCATGGTAAAGTTTGAAGCCCACTGGTCTAATGGACAGTGTTTGTATAGTTTATGGAATATGATCTCAGGGAAATTAAATCTGCTCAATTAAAGTTTGCGTTGTTTTGTTTTTGAAATTCTCTAGAGTAATTTCTGTAAGGGGCCAGCCCTGGTGGCCTAGTGGTTACCATTCGATGTTCTCACCACTATGGCCTGGGTTTGTGCCCCAGTCAGGGAACCACACCACCTGTCTGTCCGTTGTCATACTGTCATAATGGCTGCGTGTTGCTGTGATGCTGAAAACTCTGCCACCAGGACTTCAAATACCAGCAGGGTCACCCGTGGTGGACAGGTTTCAGCAGAGCTTCCAGACTAGACAGACTAGGAAGAAGGACCTGGCCATCCACTTCCGGGAAAATTGGCACTGAAAACCTCATGAATAGCAGTGGAGCATTGTCTGATACAGCGCTGGAAGGGGACTGAGCAGGGTTCCGTTCTGCTGTCCACAGGGGCACTGGGAGTCGGAATCCACTCAACAGCACTAACAACAAAACTTGTGTAATTCTTCCTAATGTATTAGCCTGAGCCACGTGAAATTGCTCTTTTTATAGGTTACAAATGTCTGCAGTTTAATGTGCTTCAACTTAATATTATATGGAATCTTATTTTAGAGGCATTGAACTTGCCTGAGAAGTTTATAAAGGAAATGGTCCTTTTCCACAAAGAGAAAGTGCATCTCTGCCCTCGTGTCCAGAGGGATGAGCAAGATTCAGAAGGGGAGCAGGGAATGACTGGCGGTGGGAGTAACAGTGCAGGGCTCCAAATCCCAGGCCGTGGGCCTCCTGGAGCAGTGAAGTCTGGCAAGAGTTATGCCTGGAGCAAACGAAAAGGGCTAGAAACAGTGGTTCTCTACCCTGGCTGCCATATTAGGGTCCCCCGATGTCCAGAGCCTGCCCTAGAGCTCGGGAGCCAGACTCTGAAGTGCCCCAGGTGTTTCTAATGTGCACCCAGAATTGAGAATCACTGGGACAGGCCATGAAGGGCCTCATCGACCACACTCTGGTGAGCTTTCATTCTGACAGGTGGGGAGCCCCAAAAATTCCTGCCGGAGAGTGCTCTAAGGACCTTCATGCTTGAGAAAGAGCCCTTTGGCCACAGCAAGGAGGAGTGATTGGAGGCCGAGAGAGTCTGGACTTTGGGGTCAGTAATCCAGAGGGGCATGAGGGAGAGCTTGTCCCTGGGATTCAGGGAAGCGGGTCGGAGAGGAGGGAGGGGACAAAATCCGAGAGGCCTGGTGACTCGCAGGTTGTGGCCTCCAGAGAGATTCCCGGGGGCCTGTGGTGACACCCAGGTGTCTGGTCTAGCAGAGCTCAGGCAGGGTAAGAAAGTCTGGTAATGAGTGTTGAGCACATTCTAGCCCCGTCCTGTGTTAGCTGGCGGAGAATGTGTGGGCATTTGTGGGAGTTCATTCCCCGAACATTCAGAACATCAAGAAGGCGTCTTTTCCTGGACACTTCTGTCAGATATGTAAAAATCTGTTGGGAGTGAGAGTCAGTCCACTATAGGGAAAATTTCAGGCATTTGGGCAGCTGCTGTGGGAGAATAGCTCTTGATTTGGAATACACAGTGAGAGCCGATGTGGGATTCTCCATGCCCTGTTCGCCTAGAAGCTAACCTCAGCCTTTACGAAGTCTCTGAAAGAAGGTGACCACAGATCTAGCCAGGCTGATGTATCATGCAGCTCTTCTCGGAACGGTGATGGACTTACAAAACTATTTTTCAGCCTCAAATTTTTTTTCCTGAAGAACTTGCCAGTTATATAACAATTTTCTTTAATAGTAAAATCTCTTTAAAATTGTAATAAAGTGTTATGATTTCTTCTAATAAGTTGTAATTTTTAGAAGTCATTGTTGTGTCCTGATGTTTATTTTAATTCAGGGTCCTGAAGTGCTTGAAAATTTTAACCTCCTTTGTGCTAAAATGTATCTTAATAGTAAACACAACAAGCCTTTGGCATGTAAAACCATATGCTAATACCAAATATAGACATAATCTGAAATTTATTCTACACTGATGTCAAGCAAATAGTTTCAAGATAACATCTCATCATGGTCCAATTTATTTCTCATCAAGTGCACAAATACTAACTTATTTTTAAAACATTTTACTTTAGATCTCTCGTTTTATCCAGATTGTCTAAACTGACCATTTTACAAATAGTTGACTGGGAAAACAATAAAAATAAAATTTCTACTGTTTTCCTGACTCAATATATTGTGAATAAGAGTGCTGATTCTTATTTTGAAAATGGATACTCTCAAACAGCTGCTGTTGGTCCTGGAGGGGAAAGATAATTATAAACATTAAGGACGGAGTGTTAATTACTAACTTATATAGCATAAAAGTGGACTGTAAGGATCTTGTTAAACAAAGAATAGTATTTTGATCACTCAATTTAAACTATACTACGTCTTGATAAATAAAAATCCTTTTTCCAAAGCATACACTGGAGGGAAAATAGTAGTTAAAATACCTATTAATAGTTGCAATTCACAACGTGGGACAGGAGATGACCTTTCTTGGGGCTTATCAAAGAATCTATATTCCCTTTGGAATGGCTGGGACCCAGGTTCTTATCCAGACTGAGAATTACTTTTGTTTGTGGTAGCTTGCCTACCTAAACCTATCCTTAGTTTGCTTAATGAAATTGAAACCATGTGAAATATCCAACATGAACCGAATGTAATGTGTTCTGAGCTGACTATGGGCCTGGCCGTGTGGGTCTGTGTGCACACGGATGGGTGTGTGCTCTGTGTGTGCTGTAGTCTGTCCTTTGGCTGAAGCACAGGCCTGTGCATCACGAAGTCCAGCTTCTGACAGTGCCAGGCAGTGATGCCCCTGACAGGGGTGAGCATTTTCCTCTGGTCCCCTTCAACACACATTCACCGTGCCATCTCTTTGGAATAAACAACACACTAAAACATGCCAAGTTGCAACTGCCATTCAAAATAACTTTCTAGCTAAAGGTAAGAACTTAGACTAGATGCCCAACAGTAAGAGGTAATCATGGTAGCAAATATAGTAAACAGTTTTGATCAGGTGCCAAAAACTGTGTTAGTGAAAACCTAAAATTTGGTGAGTTGATAACATTGCATAATCTTTGAAAACCATTTGCTAAGACAATGGTTGGCATTAACCTGACTTTTCTGTTTGGATTGGCTCGAAAAGGCAGCATTTCATATTTCAGAGCATATGTTATTTTTGAGCCCTCTGCAAGAGCCTATTTACATATAGAAAGTTGATGGACCAATTACAATCTTTATTTCTCTAATCAATCAGGTTCTTTAACACAGTAACAGTGTTAGCCTAGTTTGAGATACTGTATGTATCCGAAACTAATAGAATTGAAATTTTTAAAACTTAAATTCTTACCTCTCACAAATTTCAGCTATTGTGACCTCGTGTGAATGGTTTTGATATATAAATATAAAAATTGGAATTTCTCGAGATGTCCTGGTTTCATGTGATGTATTAATTTTCTCCGTAATTGTTTAATCAAATATTTCCATATGATTCAATATTTAAAGTTTTGTATGACATGTCACTGAGACCAGGAAAAATTCTCCTTCATCAGTGTACATATATCAAATTTCTGTTTGGCAAGCAGAGTTACCATAACTGGATGCAGAGAGCCGCATTTAAATTAGACATTTAGTTACCACTTGTACTTATGACTCAACAGGATCCAATGAAAGAAAAAAGAAAAACATTTGACTAATTGAAAAAATTCTGTCATAGTAGTGAAAATAAAAAAAAAAACACCATCAGTGTGTCTGTCATTCTGGTGTCTGTCATTCTGTCTAGTGGGCATCTCATCGAGGGACATTTCTATACCCTACAAGGATAACAGAACCCCATAAAACTACTGTAACATACAGAAGTACCCACAAGTCGGTTCTGAACCATTCAAAATCATATGCTGTCTATACTGAAAAGTTGATAATCTCTTTGCATTAGGTATGTTAACTATATGCAAAAAACTCATTCCCTGACGGTACAGGTAAGAGAACTGACCCACAGTTTATTCTTAGAGGCAGTAAAATTCTATTTGAAAAAATTAGAAAACAAAACAAAAGGGATTGAAAAACTATGTGCCAGCACAACACTAAAGATTTTCAAAAGCCATGTGGGTGTTTCATCACATCTCTGTGGTGCCAGAATGACATTGGAAAGAATTCTAAAGGGAAGTGCGATTTCTCTTGGACAAAGCTGTGGTGACTGCTGGGCAGCAGTTACCCAAACAGAGCTCTTGCTTGCCTGACAAGTGGGTTGAAGAAAGGGCCTGGTTAAAATGAGGACTATAAAGTACCAGCAAGCTACGTGTTTGCTCTAATAGTGAAAAAACGAACAGAAAAACTCCTGATCGCCAGACAGTCCTGACTCATGAGGCTTTCTTGTTCAGGTTGATGAAGGGAATCAACATACAGTACTCAGGTCTCAACAGATGATGCTAACAACTCAACTGGACAAAGAAATCTCTTGAATCTCACTCTTTAGAAAATAAAGTTTTTTCCTCTAAGATCAGGAACGAGACAAGTCTGTATACTCTCATCACTCCTAATCAACATAGTACTAAAGTTCTAGCTAGAGCAATCAGGCAAGTAAAAGAAATACAAGTTATCAGAATTGGAAAGGAAGAAGGAAAATCATCTCTATTCGCAGATGACGATTTTCTATGTAGAAAATCCCAAAGAAAGACTCAACCAAAAAACTTAGATCTAATCAATGAATTCAGTAAAGTTGGATACAAAATTAACACAAAAATCAGTAGCATTTCTATACACAACAACATTTCTGGAAAAGAAATAAAGAAATTGATTCCATTTACAATAGCATCAAAACCAATAAAATACTTAGAAATAAATTTAACTAAGGAAGTGGAAGATCTCTATGCTGAAAACTACAAGGCATTGATGAAAGAAACAGAAGAAGACACAAAAAATGGAAAGGTATCTTGTGTTCATGGATTGGAAAAATTAACATTGTTAAAATGTCAATACTACCAAAAGCCATCCATAGATTCAATGCAATCCCTATCAAAATTCCAATGGCATTTTTTACAGAAGTAAAAACACTCCTAACATTTATATGGAATCAGAAAAAACCCTGCATAGCCTATGAAGTCATGGGAAAGAAGAACAAAGCAGAAGGTATCACACTTCCTGATTTTAAGCTATACTATAAAGCTACAGTCATCAAAACAGTAAAGTACTGGCATAAAAACATGCAAGTAGACCAATAAAACAGCATCGAGAGCCCAGAGATAAATCCAAGCATATTTGGTCAACTAATACTGGACAAGGGAGCCAAGAATACCAATAGCCAAGAATTTCTCAATGGAGAAAAGATAGTCTCTTCAATAAATGGTGCTGGGGTACTCGGATAGTCACATGCAAACGAATGAAACGACCCATCCATATCTTACACCATTCACAAAAACTAACTTGAAATGGATTAAAGACTTAAATGTAAGACCTGAAACCATGAAACTCCTAGAAGAAAACATAAGAACAAACTCCTTAACATGACTCTTCATAATGATTTTTTGGATATGACACCTAAAGTACAAGCAACAAAATAAAAAGTAAACAAGTGGGACTATATCAAACTAGAAATCTTCTGCACAGCAAAAGAAACCATCAATAAAGTGAAAAGACAACCTACAGAATGGGAAAAAATATTTGTAAACCATGTATCTGATAAGGGGTTAATATCCAAAACATATAAAGAACTCATACAACTCAACAGCAAAAATCAAATAACCCAATTAAAAAATGGGTAAAGGTCTTGAATAGACATTTCTCCATAGAAGATATACAAAAGGCCACCAGGTACATGAAAAGATGCTCAACATCACTAGTCATTAGGGAAATGCAAATTAAAACCACAATGAGATGTCATCTCACTCCTATTAGAATGACCATCATCAAAAAGACAAGAGATCACAAACGCTAGTGTGGATGTGGAGAAAAGCAACCCTTGTGCACTGTTGGTGGGACTGTAAGCTGGTCCAGCTATTATGGAAAACAGTATGGAGGATCCTCAAAATTTTAAAATAGAAGTACCTTATGATCCAGCAATCCTACTTCCGGGAATATATCCAAAGGTAATGAAAACACTAACTCAAAGAGATATCTGTAGCCCACTGTTCCTAGCAGCATTATATACAAAAGCCAAGAAATGGAAACCACCGAAGTGTCCATCGATGGATGAATGGATAAAGATGTCATAGTATATACATACGTGTGTATATGCACACACACACACAATGGAATATTATTCAGCCATAAAACATGAGGAAATCCTACCATTTGTGACAACATGGGTGGACCTTGAGAGCATTATGCTAAGTGAAATGTCAGACAGAGAAAGACAGTTACAGAATGATCTCACTTATATGTGGAATATAAAACTAAAAATAAAATGAGCCCATAGATAAAAAAACAGATTGGGGTTGCCAGAAGTGGGAGCTGGGAGTAGAGACAGTTGGAGAAAGATGGTCAAAAGGTACATACTTCCAGTTAAACGATAAATAAGTGCTAGGGATGTAATGTACAACATGATGACTATAGCTAACGCTGTGTCATATACAGGAAAGTCGTTAAGAGAGTAAGTCCTAAGAGTTCTCATCACAAGGAGAATTTTTTTTTCCTTTGTACATCTTTCTTCTCTTTTTACTGTGTATAAGAAAATGGATGTTAGCTGAACCTATCATGATAATCATTTCACAATATATGTAAATAAACCATCATGCTGTATGCCTTAAACTTAGACATGTATAAGTTTATGGTGTATGTGATGTATATCAATTATTTCTCAATAAAACTGGAAAAAAAAGAATAAAGTCAAGTGTGAACTTTGAACTAACAAAATATTACAGTTCTCATAATTGTTTATGAAATGCCGGTTTTAACATAAACATGATTTGGGCAGTGCAACAAATGCAAAACATGCTGAGACATGTAATAAATAACTGTGCTTCTCTATGCTTTTTATATAAATAAATGTTGCCTCTTTTTGCTTGAGGCAGATTGTCACTGAGCTAATATCTATGCCAGTCTTCCTCTATTTTACATGGGACGCCAGCACAGCCTGGTCTATATGCACGTCCGGGATTCAAACCTGTGAACCCTGGGCTACCGAAGCAGAGCACTCAAATTTAACCGCTACACCACTGGGCTGGCCCCCAAAACACGTTTTTAAAAAGTATCAGACTTTGGGGCCAATTTCTAGTCATTGGCTAACTGACGTAACTGTTCCCAACAGTCGGTCCTGAGCATTAAATATAAAGAAATAAGCCCTAGCTTTGCACTTATAGGTCGTTCAAATCAAATTTGTTACAACAAACACCAAAGACCCATCAGTACTCTATATTCACACGGGAACTTGGGGTGGGTCAAGTGTTGTTTGAATGAAGGGAGCCATTTACAAAGGGTTGGGGATGTTTCTGTGCTACAGAAATTTAAATTGTCATGATAGTTAGTAAAGGGTTTCAGCTCCAGCGTCCACAGTGTCTAGAATTTGATGATTTTATAAAAAAGAAGAAAGTATAGAGAAAAAGCTAAATGAAGTCAAATTTATTTTTCATTGCTTTTGTCATTCAACAAAGAAAAATTTAAACTGATAATAAAGATAAAATGACAGAAGTGCTCCTTTTTAGAAATTTACACGTCATCCAAATTCTTTATCTAACTTTTAATTAGCAAAAGCTGAATTTCGTTTATCTGCTTAACAAGAAGAAGTGTTAGAAAAAATTTTCATGTTTTCTCCTTCAGTTTCAGAAAGTCAGACTCATAGTATTTATTAATATAGGACACCAGGAAAAATCAGAAAATTTATCTTTAAGGTCATTTTCCATTTCAACCTTCCTTTTTAGATTTCATAAACTACAACTTCTGAAAATTTAGTTTTGGCATTCTCAAAAATATACATCATATCTCTTGATGAATCATATTCCTATAATAAAATTCTAAATTAAAAGTCAGTTTCTTTTCAGCAGATGAAATATATATCTTTACATATTTTTATTTAAAATTAAGATTTTTGGCACAGAGTTCTAAGCTTGTTGTTTTCAAATTGTGCCTACACTGCTTTCCACTAATCAGCTTGGGAGAGTTTGGGAAAGAAACGGTGTTCTTTACAAATTTGTGCCTTGTGTTTATCCATCCTTCAGTCCCATGCCCAACAATCCAGCAGTATTCCAAGATTTTAGAACTTGAGAAAAAAGGCTAGAAAATTTACTTCTCCACATTGTGGGGTAGAAGTGGGGATAGAGAGCCAGTGACAGGAATCTCGAAGTCCTGTATCGTTTTGTTTAATTATTTCATGTTTTCCCACCAATAGTACTGTGGTCACTTGTGTCCTTTGCTGTATCCCCAATGTGAATTCAAGGGACTACATGAGTGGCTTCATTTCATATCTAAACTCAGAAATTTAGTCTTGTTCTAGTCAAGTTTTAAAGAAGGGTTTTCAGAAAGAATGACAGGCCAATGAAATCTACAGTTTAACAGACAGAGATTCAAATACTAACCTTGAAGGATTATGTTCCACATCTTGTCTTTCTGTTGTACTTTTAAAAAGTGCTCAGATGAGTAGAATCCATTTTTACAGGACGAATCTGAGTTACTACTTTATTGAGGGGGTGAGGTAACAAATCAGAGACTAGTGCAAAAAAATAAACCTCCCACATTTTCCAAAGTGCTTCCTGAACAAAATCCAAAACCTGAAATCTCATCAATTTGTTACACATTGGAATACTGCTTATATAAAGGTTCATCCTTGTCTGCTTAAAGCCTCTGACCTGGGTTCAAAGTTCTAGAATGTTCTACAGAAAAATTCTAAAGTAGGTGGTCGTAGGTAAGCATGAAAGGGAATCTCCTGCATCCTCCTCCCAGTATTGCACAATATAAAACCTGCCAACAAGTTGTAAGCAGGCTCTGCCCTACCTCTCCCCAGGTGGAACTTCATCAAAAGCTGCCACCAAGTCTGTTACACACCTTAAGCTGGTTTCACCCAGCCTTTCTATCTGCCCCATTTAAACACAAAAGGAAGATGGAATCTATCTGTCACCCCCAAACACATGGTAGAATGAGGAACAAATTAAAAAGCAGCTGAATCTTTTCACAGGAATCTGCACTCTGGGAGCCAGGCCACCTCACCTGCCTCCATGTTCCGACTGTCTCCCAGTCTGAGTCTCGGCTCCTTGCTGTGCCTTCCTTTACCAACTGGTCATCAGCTCAGGAGAGGAAAATGCCTGACTCTGAGCTGGTGGCCCACCAGCCCCCCAGGAGCCGCCCTTTACACCTTGGAAAGATGTTCTGAGAATTTTTAGTGCCATTCACTTAAAAACTAATTTATAGTTTTTATATTACATATACATATTTTTTCATAAATAAAATTTGACATATATGTATATATTAAAATTTTCACCAACAAGGGTGTGTTAAAAATTTCAAGTTCTGTCATTCAAGTTCAATAAAGGCACACATTTTTTTTTCTTTAGGCTTGCAAAGAATACAATTTCTAGCAACAAATCATAAGACACTTTCTTTGAATTTTCTTCTTCTTGGAATAAGCATTCGTCCCTTAATCAACGGCATGACTCTACTACCCAAAGTATTTCGATGCCTAGAGGGTTCTACGTGGAGTCCACTGCTGTATCAGGCTGCCGAGGGACCAAGCACAGGCGCCGCTCGGTCACCCCGCCCGGGCTGCGCTGGCCATTTCCATTAAGGCTTCTCACTCCCGAATCGGGCTTTCCGGTTTCCAGGCTCCGACGCCCTTCGGACCAGCCTGGGTGGCGGCTTGGGGCGGAGGCCTTCAGCCTCACTGTCCTCCCCCGCCGGGCCGATGTCGCCCTCGGAGAGGAGGGGCTGCCGGAGCACGGCGGGGGTCTGCGTGCCGTCGTCTCTGCTGCGGGCAGCGGGGGGAGTGCCGGGCTGCCGGCGGCCGGCATCCGCGTCCACCTCGTTCTTCCACTCCATTTTGTAGGACTGGGGCGCTTTCTTGGAGAACTGTTCTGGCAAGAAGCGCCTCGCTCGGGGCTGCAGGTTGAGGACGGTGGTCCCGGCATCCGTGTCGGAGTCGCTGCTGTTGCCATCTGCCACAGAGCAAAAGAAGGACGACATAGGCTAGCATTTTAGGGAGATGGTGCTACAAGAGACTGACTAAGCAACACATCAATGGGTCCTGCAACAGCTGTGCCCTCGGGCTCTGGGGTTGGGCGTGAGGGGGCAGCCGTCAGAGGGCCCACCAGAACTCTAGCTGAGAATAATCTCCCTGAGCATTTTGTCCACACAGTGTATTCATACTAATTTTGAGGCGCTTACTATGTGCCAGACGCTGTACTAAGCACTTCAAATGTATTAACCTATTTAATCCTCACAATCACCCATTTTACAGATGAAGTAACTGAGGTTCAAGAGACAGTAGCACGTGGTGGAACCGGATATCAAAATACAACTATGTGCGGCAGCTGTGCTCTCGCTGCCCCACAGGCAGGACCCCAGAAGGGCTGAGCTTAGTGTCTGACACACAGGAAGCAGACCAATAATCAGCTGCTCTTATGAAGATTCTTGTCTTGATCTGGAATCTCATACACAGCCTTGTTTATTTCCTTTATGTTTTCATAAAAGGGTCAACACAACAAGGTGCACCTTCCAAATATGGAAGGAGGCGAGGCATGCTGAGAACCAGGTGATCGTCAAAATTGAAGTCCTGGAGTCCTGTGGGTAGGACAGCGATGGGTGCTGGCCTGGGACCTGAGATTCTTGGGAACCGAGAGCATTTTTTATTTTAGAGATTTTATTTTTTTCCTTTTTCTCCCCAAAACTATTAGTACATAGTTGTATATTCTTCATTTTGGGTCCTTCTACTTGTGGCATGTGGGACGCTGCCTCAGCGTGGTTTGATGAGCAGTGCCATGTCCGTGCCCAGGATTCAAACCAATGAAACACTGAGCCGCCTGCAGCAGAGCGCACAAACTTAACCACTCGGCCAAGGGGCCGGCCCTGAGAGCATTTTTGATAGACACACGGTGGTAACATGACCCACTGTTCAAATAGTCAGTGCTCCCTTTTCCTCCCTTCTCATTTGTCATCTCACCCTCCAATACCACTAGCCATCATTAGACTTTTCTCTTCTTGGTTAATTAAATAAACAAGTAAAAAACAGAGGGGAGGGCTATTATTCTTACATCCCACATTTTACTAACATGATACCCTAACATGTCTTCTGGGGCTCACATAAAATGGGTTGGAGTCCACATAAAGATTACCATCAAAGAAAGAGGTCTTAGCAATCATGTCAAAGCTTTAATCATTATAGCCAGAAGTAAAATTTATGGTTGCCTTTAGGAAAATACGTTAGAATTATTGTAAACATTTACATTAGAAATATTGTAAGAATTATTGAATTAAATTTAAACCGTTGAAGATTTAAAACTTTCTATCTACCTGTTCACTAACCACATGGTGACAATATTTGCTTTTGCTCTATCAGATAGAATCATCATGGAAAATAAACAACTGAACTATTTATCATGTGCACAGAACTCCACTCAAAAACCGTGTAATGCTAATAAAAGGTCACCATATTATTATTTCAGATTTGCAAACTACTGAAGTCATTGTCCTTAATGAAGAAGAAGGGGGAAATTTTTTTATTTTATAAACATTAGTAAAGAAGTTTAAAGTCTACTCTGACTTTATTCATTACCTGCATTAGAAACGTTCTTTTTCTTCTGTAGCTTTTCTGGAAGCTTTGTATTTTTTGGTAAGGATAAATACCGGGAGGTCGAAGTGGAAGCCTGTAAAAGAAATAGAAAACCTTATTTAGACCATGCAGATGTCATTTATCATTTAATTTTATTGTTAATTTATTATTTAAAATTTTATGGCAAACGTTGTTAAAAACTAAAATTTTAGTTCTGATTCCAGAATTATTTTGTGAGGGGCTGTAGGATGAGGAATAAAGTTTTCAGCAATAGCTATTTTATTTAAAATAACTAAATCTCTTCTAAAATATAATGAAAATCAGTCCTAAGGAAAAGGGAAATAAAATGGGACCATTAGAAACAAGGTGTGAAAACCACTGGGTTTTCTTCAAGAAAAGCTACGGAAACACCTGTTTACAGGAGTATTACTAAAAAAGACTCCGAACCTGTATGTATGGGGAAGAAGATATATGAAAAATGTAGCATAGTTAAGTTTTATTTATTTTAATCTCTTGAAAATCAAACAAAAAGTATTTCTATAGCTAACTTGCTCACATTTCTAATACCACAGTCTCCAGAAATTAATTTTTAATGGATGCTACCACATTTCACACATAAAAAGAAGATAATCTTGTTGACACATAACCTCTTTGATCTGTGATGACCCAATACAGAATATTATTAAAAAGGAGATGCAATGCCTGCTATGTTACATCAGTCAATCATAGTATCATTTTGAAAGGGCTTTCCTCATCTATTGACGATGCCCTGGACCACATGAAATGCTGAGCAAACTGCACTGGGAACAGCGCTCCCCCAGGCCCTGGGGCCCTCCTGGAATCCCACCACATGCACGCCGGCTGCCCCGCCTCGGGCTGGACCTCGCCCTGGAAAGCGCAAATATCACTTCCCAAATGAAGCTTGGCCCAGCCTGTCTGTTTAAAACTGTAACTTCCCTGCGCTCCCAACTTCCTTCCTCAGCTCTTTTTGGTTTGTTTTTCTCCAGAGCACTTACCGCCTTCTAACACAACAGATAATTTATTTATCCTGTCTATTGCTCATCGCTTTCTCCCCATTAGAATATGAATCCTACAAGGTAAGGGATCTTTGTCAGTTTTGTTCACCAAGTATTCCAAGTGCCTGGGCCAGTGCCTGGAACACAGTCAGTGTTCAAGAAATGTCTGAACAGACTTTATCATTAACCCCATTCCGGAACTCCTGTGAATCAACCCTCAGCAGCCATTCTGCCCACACAGCCTCTGGCACAGCTGCGGGCTCTGCTCTTGGACGCCGTCTCCACCCCAGAGGCACAAGCTCCAGTTACCCTGTGCTGCCGGTTCAAGCTGCTGTCTTTCCTAATGCTCTCTCGCAAACTGTGCCTTCGGCGGATCAGAATCTCCTTGGCTTGTCTCTCACTCGTGTCGGCCGTCAGATTGTGTCTGTTGTAGGACAAAGTCTGAAATGAAAACACAAGCGAAATGTTACAAAGAACTGATCACTGCTCCAGAAATTCCAGAATCCACTATGTTTCTGTGGACTTGCCCCTCAGCTAGCCACTTAACAACTCACGTGCAGAGCAAAGAAAAAGTATGAAAGTTCACATTCTTTCAAATTTTGAAAGCATTCATCTTCTAATAAAAGTCAGTGAATAAGTTTGTTTTTCATTGAAAAGTATGATCTTTATAAATGAGAAAAGCAGTTGAACTCATCAAGCACTTCTGTCTACCCGGAAGTACTTTATATGTATTGACCCATCATTAGCATCTGGGGAAAAATGATACAAGCGATCTTCATACATTCTCTGTTGAATAGTAATTACTGGCATAAAAACAAACCACTTTGAACCACTTGGTGGAGCCATGTCCCTTTGATTAACTTCTAAGAACATTTCCTCTTCTCAACGGGGTTGTCAAATTGAAAAGGCCGCTGCCACCACCAGCAATGACCACGTCCTAGTATTTGAAGCAGCAAAATGTATAAACTAGGGCTGTCCATAGCATGCCTTTTGTTTTATAAGCTATATAGAAATCTCTTTCCTATAATACGTTATAATTAGTAACTAAGTTCATTTTCTGATAGAATTAATGTCTACTTCTTGGAAATATCCACGTGTCCAGAACTATCTTAGGCCTAGTAGAGATACCCGAAAGTAATATAGAACAATACTCAATTCCTGCCTTGAAAAATTGACTATCTAGTTGGGCATCTAAAGCTAACAAAATAGTATGAACTCCTGAAATTGAGCACTAAAATTATGTGATACACCACAAGCTCCAAGTGCTATCGCATTTATTCCCCAAGGCTGGCAGCGATATGAGGGTGTTCGGGAAAGCTTAACAATTGGAGAATATGGATCGGCTGACAGGAAGCAGTGGGACATTCCAAGTGGAGACAGAAAAGAGAGCAACACAGGCCAAGGAATGAAGACAGCACCCTCCACGGGGTTTGGGGTGGGTGGGTGAGGGAGACGTGCAAATAAGGTTGCATAAAGTGGAACCTGGAAATAGAGATCCCAAACTCTGAAAGAATATCTAGCCTGGAAGCCACAACTGTTGTCCTGTTTCATTTTAAGCAGGAGAATGCTGCCATTAAAAGGTGCTTTAGGAAAAGGGTGGAGCAACAGTAATGTAGGATGGAATGGGGACAGCCTTTGGGGAGATCAGATAAGAAGCTACAGAAATGACCCCGAAAGGAGTGAGGAGGACTCCTGACAGGTGATGTGGCCCTTGTGCCACTGAATGTCTCTGTACCCCAATTTCTTCATCCATAAAAAGGAGACAATAGAAATACCACTTGTTAAGGATTAAACGAGTTAATAGACGCAATGCAAGAAACGGGGCTTAGCAAAAGAAAAAAAAAAAACCCACCACTCTCTACGTGTTAGCTAGATTACTAGCAAATTATTAGAATGAGGTGTTAACAATGGAAATGCAGGGAAAAAAGTGACTCAGAAGATACATTAAAGGAAGAAACTATAGCATCATACAAATAACAAAGAAGATTAAATACATTTTTAAAAGTCTTCCAAGCTATAAAGCTATTATATCATTAAAAAAAAATAAAAAGAGCAATCAATTACTTTCTTCGCCATTGGTTAACACATTTTTTTTTGTATCTCTAAGCCAATAGTAGCAGAACTTCAAGGCAACTCCAGGTTTTACCCCTGGAGTCTGGGAGGAGAATGGTACCCTGACGAGACAAGACACTGTGAAGCGGAGTCTGATAGAAGAGAAGATGCCTGGTGAGGGGCCTGCAGAGGATGGCATAATGGTTGGGCAATATCCACTAAAATTGGATAGTATGAAATCAGAAGACAGATTTTCAGCCAAAGTTCAGTAAACATTTCGCTAAATAAAATATTCTCACTCGCTGACGGATTTGATAAAGATTTCTTGATAATATCTCTCGAATTTCATCCATTTCACCAGGTGTGAGCTTCCTTATTTTTTCTTCACGACAGTCACTGTGAAAGTTTAGAAGAAGAATATTTTACTATTCCACAAATATTGGAATCATCAGTTTTCTTTCTTAGAGATATAATATTATTTAAGAAAAAGAATCAGTTTAAAGAATAACATAGGAATTATTCAATATTTTAAAGTAATTCAAAATTCTAAAATTTTTATTTGAGCGCCAAAATTATTCACGATAGGTTTAATCATGGACAAGTTTTCAGAGTCTATTTATGCAACTTTTTCTTTCTTTCTTTCTTTCTTTCTTTTTTGGTGAGGAAGATTGGCCCTGAGTGAACATCTATGCCAATCTTCCTCTACTTTACATGTGGGTGTCCACCACAGCATGGCTGATGAGTGGTATAGGTCTGCACCCAGGATCTGAACCCATGAACCCAGGCCGCAGGAGCAGAACATGCTGAACTTAAGCACTGGGCCACATGGCTGGCCCTGGTTTTTGGTTTTTTTTTTAGATTCCACATATAAGAGAGATCATACGGTATTTGTCTTTCTCTGTCTGACCTATTTCACTCAGCATAATGCCCTCAAGTTTCATCCATGTTGTTGCAAGATTGCATTCCTTTTTTATGGCTGAATAATATTCCATTGTATATATACATACATACATATATATATATATATGTGTGTGTGTGTGTATACACACACACACCACAATTTCTTTATCCATTCATCTATCAATGGACACAGGTTGTTTCTATACCTTGGCTATTGTAAATAATACTGCAGCAAACATGGAGGTGTGTATACTTTTTTGTTAGTGTTTTCATTTCTTCCAATAAATACCCAGAAGTGGAATTGCTGAATCATATTTTTAATTTAATGAGGAACCTCCTTACTATTTTCCATAGTGGCTGCACAAATTTACTTTCCACCAACAGTGCACAAGGGTTCCCTTTTCTCCACATCCTCATCAACACCTGTATTTCTTTTTCTTTTTGTTAATAGCCATTTTAACAGGGGTGAGGTAATATCTCATTGTAGTTTTTATTTGCATTTCCCTGATGATTAACGATGTTGAGCATCTTTTCATGTGCCTGATAGCCATTTGTATTTCTTCTTTGGAAAAATGTCTATTCAGATCTTCTGCTCATTTTTTAATTGGATTGTGTTTCTGCTATTGAGTTGTATGAGTTTTGCATGTCTTTTGGATATGATTTGCAAATATTTTACACCATTCAGTAGGCTGCCTTTCCGTTTTGTTGATGGTTTCCTTTGCTGTGCAGAAGCTTTTTAGTCTGATGTAGGCCCACTTGTTTATTATTGCTTTTGTGGCTCTTGCTTTTCACGTCAGATTCAAAAAACTGTCACCAAGACCTATGTCAAAGAGCTTACTGCCAAGGTTTTCTTCTACGAGCTTTATGGCTTCAGGTCTTATGTTCATTTTTAATCCATTTTGAGTTAATTTTTGTGTATGGTATAAGACAGTGGCTGAATTTTATTCTTTTACATGTGGCTGCCCAGTTTTCGCAACATCATTTATTGAAGAGACTGTCCTTTCCCCATTGTATATTCTTGGCTCCTTTGTTGTGAATTAATTGCCCCTATATGCTCAGGTTTATTTCTGGGCTCTCTATTCTGTCCCGTTGATCTATGTGTCTGTTTTTATGCTGATACCATACTGATTTAATCACTATAGCTTTGTAATATAGTTTGAAATCAGGGAGTATGATGCCTCCAGCTTTGTTCTTCTTTCTCAAGAATGCTTTGGCTATGTGGGAGTTTTTATTATTATTATTATCATTAATTATTAACTATTAAAATTATTACCTATTAAAATGATCATGTTATTTTTATCCTTCATTTTGTTAATGTGGTATATCACATTGACTGACTTGCTGACGTTAAACCATCTTTGCATCCCTGGAATAAATCCCACTTGATCATGGTGTATGACCTTTTAAATATACTGTTGAATTCCCTAATATTTTCTTGCGAGATTTTGCATCTTTATTCATCAAGGATATTGGCCTGTACAGGCAGACCTTGGATATATTGCAGGTTCAGTTCCAGAACACTGCAGTAAAACCAACATCACAATAAAGTGAGTCACACAAATTCTTTGGTTTCCTAGTGCATATAAAAGTTATGTCTACCCTACACTGTAGTCTAAGTGTGCAATAGCATTATGTCTAAAAAAACAATGCACATATCTCAATTAAAAATACTTTATTGCTAAAACATGCTAACCATTATCTGAGCCTTCAGTGAGTCACAATCTATTTGCTGGTGGGGAATCTTGTAAAAAATGCAATATCTGTGAAGCAAATCAAGCAAAGCACAATAAAACGAAGCAAGCTTGCAATTTTCTTTTGTTGTGGTTTCCTCGTCTGGTTTTGATATCAGAATAATGCTGGCCTCATAAAATGAGTTTGGAAGAATTCCTTCCTCTTCTATTTTTTAGAAAAGTTTGAGAAGGATTGGGGTTTATTCTTCCTAGAATGTTTAGTAGAATTTACCAATGAGCTGTCTGGTTCTGGACTTTTGTTTATCGGGAGGTTTTTGATTACAGATTCAATCTCCTTACTAGTAACTGTTTGTTTGGATTTTCTATTTCATCATGATTCAGTCTTGGTAGGTTGTATATTTCTAGGAATGTATCTATTTTTTCCAGGTTGTCCAACTTGTTGGTGTATAATTGTTCATAGCATTCTCTTATGATCCTTTGTATTTCTGTGGTATCAACTGTAACACCTCCTCTTTCATTTCTGATTTTATTTATTTGAGTCCTCTCTCTTTTTTTTCTGGTGAGTCTCGCTAAAGGCTTGTCAATTTTGTTTATCTTTTCAAAGTACCAGCTCTTAGTTTCATTGATCCTCTCTATTGTCTTTTTAGGCTCTATTTCATTTATTTCTCTGTTCTAATCTTTGTTATTCTGCTAATCTTTGCTATTCTTTCTAACCTTTGTCCTTCTGCTAACTTCAGACTTTGTTGGTTTTTCTTCTTCTAGTTCTTTGAGGTGTAAAGTTAGGTTTTTTAATTTGAGACTTTTCTTGTGTCTTGAGGTAGGCATTTATTGCTATGAACTTCTCTCTTAGAACTGCTCTTGCTGCATCCCACAAATTTTGGTATGTTATATTTCCATTTTTGTTTATCTCAAAGTATTTTTTAATTTCTTCTTTGACCAATTGGCTGTTCATGCAAACAAACTGTATGTTTTTTAACCTCCATATATTTGTGAATTTTCCAGTTTTCTTCATGTAATTAATTTTTAGTTTCACATCATTGTGGTTGGGAAAAGATGCTTGATATTTCAATCCTCTTAAATTTATTAAGACTTGTTTTGTGGCCTAACACATGGTCTATCGTGGAAAATGTTCCATGTGCACTTGAGAAGAATGCATATTGTGCTGTTTTTGGATGGAACATTCTGTATTTAAGTCTATCTGGCTAATATGTCATTTAAGGCCAATGTTTCCTTAATGATTTGCTGTCTGGATGCTCTATCCACTGATGTAAGTGGCGTATTAAAATCCCCTACTATCACTGTATTGCTCTCTATTTCTCCCTTTAGAGCTTTAGGTCCTAAGCATAGTTCTGAAGTGCTGTCTAATGTTCCTAAGTGAAAGAAGGCTGTGATGTGCCTTCTGGAGAAAATGTGTGTTAGGTAAGCTTTGTTAAAGCATGAGTTATGGTGCTGTTGGCCATGAGTGCAATGATAATGAATCAACAGTATCTATTAAATAAGGTGTCTTTAAACAGAAATATATATAAAACAAGATTATGTATTAATCAGCTGATGAAAACATTGTGACTAGAGACTCACAGGATTTTCTGTATTCCCCCTAGGAGCAATCACTCAATAGTCACAAGTCAGTGTTGACAGAAACTTGGTAGAATATAACTACTGTAAAAAACCCAATGATATTCGACTGTATTTATATAGTTTAACTCCTTCAAAAAGGCTTTGAGGGGGCCTCCAAAAATATATAAATAGATAAAAATAAAATAAATAGATAAGAAGATAAATTAGGAAAATAAATTAAAGTTAGGAAGGTTAATATATATAAATGCAGATCTTACAGAAGATGGGCCAAGGACACACAAATTAAGGAGCATAGTTCTCTTACATTTTTTTAAGTGCAAACTTGCTATTACTGTATACCAACTATAACACTAATTACTTAGGTGCAAGCACCTATGCACAATGGGTAATGGATACACACAAAGGAATGGACACAGAAATTTCTGGCTTCAGCAGGACAGACTTATCTAGATATAGATCATTCATTTTTGCCTCAACCTCAATTGCTCAGATGATTTTTAAAAAGCTTATTTTTAGATTGAGACATTGTTGTTTAGACAGCTTTCCGGCTTTCTAGTAAGGTTTTTTGATTAGCAAATTTAATTCACAGAATTTTAGAGTTGGAAGAAACAAATAAGGTTAGTACGTAACAATCTTTTTGGCATCTGATTCTTTTGTACAATGTTCCCATCAGGTCTTTGCAAGCATATGTTTGCATAACTCTACTGATAAGTGCACAAGTACTTCCCTTGTTTATACTTAACACCTTTTTATTAGAATAAAATACAAAGAAAGAAAAGTGCATGAATCTTACATGTACACCTCAATGAATTGTCACAAAGTGAATGTACTTATGCAACTACTGCTCAAGCCAAAAAACAGAACATTAACTAGAATCCCAGAAACCACTCGTGGTCCCCTAACCAATCACTACTCCCTCTTTGCCAAAGATAACCATTCTCCTAACATCTAATTTCATAGATGTGTCTGAATTTGAATTCTATATAAATGGAGTCTTTTAAATACAATATGTGGTCTTTTAAATTTACCTTCTTTTGTTTAGCACTATGTTGGAGATTCATCTGTCTTATCGCACGTAGCTGTAGTTAATTCATTTTAATCATTGTATAATATTCCAATACATGGATATACCAAATTTATCCATTTTACTGTTGATGGGTATTTAGCTTATTTCCAATTTTCAGATATTAAAAACAATGCTTCGATGAAGATATCTCATATATATATTTTGGAACACATATGATTATTGAACATTTGAATATCCTATTTTGTAAAATGCCTGAACAAGTCTCTTGTCCATTTTTTTTTTAGGATTGTCTTTTTTTTTAGACCTTTGTCAGTTTTCTGTGAGGCAAGTATCTTTTCCCACTTTGTGGTTTGCTTTTTCATTCCTTTAATGAAATCTTCCCCTATCACAACATTAAGAGGACATTCTCTATATAATCTTCACTTTATTGTTTCACTCCTCACATTGAGATATACAATATCCCTTGACTTGATACGATGTGAAATACTGTTCAATGTCATTTTACTTCCTAATTATCAAATGACCCAGGACGATTTTTTTTAAAGCCATCTTTTCTCCACTGCTTTGTACTGTAGACTTTGTCATTAATTAAGTGGCCACATACAGGTGGGTCTCTTCCAAACTCTTATTTTGATCTGATCTGTATGTCCTTTTGTCTTGGCCCAGTATCACATTGTCTCAATCATGGTAGCTCTGTAGTAAGTCTTGTTACTTAATAGAGTAAATCTTCCAAATTTGTTCTTCAAAATTATCTTGATTAACTTTGGCCCTTTACATTTACAGAGAAATTTTAGGACAAGATTGTCTAATCTCACACACACACACACACAAACCCTGGGATTCTGAATGGAAGTGCTTTGAATTCATAGGTCAACTTGAAGAGAATGGAAAATTTTACAATATTGAGGCTTTCTCTTAATCTTTAACTTATCTTTTTTGGCCTTTCTGTGAGAGGTTTTGCAAATATTCTCTAAATTTCATGTTGCTGTTTGGTGTTTTTTGATGATTGTTTGATGCTGATATACATGATGTTTCATGATGTTATTCTACATTAAGCATTTTTTTAATGCCATCTTCTGTTTGTTGATACTCATAAAACTACCCCTGATTTGCTTTCTTGCCATGTATTCAGAAACTTGGATACATTTGCGTATTATGTCTAATTATTTATCTGCAGGTTCTTTTGGATTTTCCGTAAAAACGATCAAGCTATTTGTGAATAACGATAGCTTTACTTATTTGTTTCCTGTCCTTAATCTTTTTATTCTTTTTCCCGCCTAGCATTGGTAAAATATTTATAGAAATAGTAATAATAGTCATCCTTCTTCCAGATCTCAGGTTAAATCTTTCAACATTAAAAACTATATTTGCTAAGATTGTGTTTTGTGAATAAACTTTATCACCTTAAGAAAGAGTTTCTTTTATTCTTTGTTTAGACATTTTTTAAAATAACTAAGACGATATTGAATTTCATCAAACAATTTTTCTGCCTCTATTTCAGATAAATGATAACCTATGATTTTTCTTCTTTATGCTATAAAAGTGGTGAATAACTTTGATTTTCTACCATTAAGCCATCTTTGTATTTCTGTAATAAACTGAAAATTATTGTGATTCATATCCTTTTTAATCTATCTCTGGATTTGGTTTGCTAATATTTTGTTTAGAATTTTTACAGACATATTATATCTGCAATTTTTCTTTCTTATAAGTGTCTTTGTCAGGTTCCCTATCAAAATTATGGTGGTCTAATAAGGCTATTTGGGAAGCTTTCCTTCTTTTTCTACTTTCTGAAAGAGTTTGTGTAAGATGGTATTGTTTCTTTCTTAAATTTTTGGTAGAATTCACAAATGAAGCCATATAGTCTTAGAGTCTCAATCCTGGCTGTGAATTAGAAACATCTGAAGAACTTATAAATATGCCTATTCCTGGGCCTCAACACCAAAAGATCCTGATTTTATTGGTCTGGCTGGAGCCCAGGCATCTGTATTATTTAAATGCTCTCAAGGTGTTTCTGATGTTCAGCCTGGGCTGAGAACCACTGCAACAGATGATCACTAATGTTCTTTCCAAGCCTTAAACTATGATTCTGTGAATAATCTATGAGGAAATAGCTATATAATTACATGCATATTTGAAATAACAAATATAACACATCTTAAAATATTCCCTTTCAAAATGCCTGCTAAAAAGGCTTTAATTTACTTTCAAAAAGCATGGAATTACCCAAAGCAAATATAATAAACGCATAATTATCCTAAACATGACAAAGTATTTTCTGACTAATCAATTCTAAAATAACATAATGTAATGTGACACGAAGTGACATGACATAACATAATATAATGTCCACATTTCTAGGCTTTCACATTTTAACCAGAATCTCATTCTGCTGTGAGGTCATCAGGTATCTCTCTTGGACATAGGTCAAGTTTGTTATTATTACTGATTTTGAAAGATTATAAGGACATACTTAGTGATACTAACTTTTATTTACAAAACAGTACTTACTTTAGAGATGCGTAAGACGGGACAGTACTTATCATCCCAGTCTCTGCCATCTCAATGGCATGTTTTATTTCAAGCTTTTTATATAAGGACACAATGCTTGACTTGGGTTGGTTTTCCCGAATCAAAAGCTTACGCAGGTATTTGTCATCAAACTTCTTAAACCTGGAAATAAAGATAATCAAAGCTTCAATGAATTAATGCTAAACTGACTAAGAAAAAAACCTGTCTTTACCAATAAAATCATTTCCACTATTCCCAGGGAAAAAATTTAGTAGCACTGTTTAGTTATTCCAATCATTATACATATATATATATACACACACACACACACACACACACACACACACATATATGTGTATATATATATATATATATATATGTTTGCATACCAGAATATATGTGTATATATAAAATAAGTATACACACACACACAGACACACACACACATACAGATATACACACACCACATACATATGGCACATATTGGTACAACTTTGTATATAGCCATGACATACATACGTCTAAAATTCCCTAATTATAGATTAAAATACATATATTTCTATATTTCCTATTTCTCTGCTTCCCCTTTCAGTAAAATGACTCAAAAGTGTTGTTAATACTCCCTATGTGCAATTCTTCTCCTCAGATTCTCTCTTGAACATCCACAAACCAGACCTTTGCCTCTAATACTCCACTGAGGCTAGCATATGGTGGTCATCAGTGACCCCCACCATACAAATCCAACAGCCAACTATTAGTCTTCACCTTTCCTGACCTCTCCTGCTTAAAGCATCGTCTTTCAGGACACCACATTGCCCTGGGTTCCCTGCCACTTCCTTCTCAGCCTCTTTTTTGGGTCTTTTTCTTCTTTCTGGTCTCTTAATGTAGGAGTGCCCTGGGGTTCAGTTCCTGGTCCTCTTCTCTACCTCCACTCATGCCCCTGGCCATCTTGCCCAGTCCCATGGATTTTAATAGCATCTCTATGCCAATAACTCCCACATTTGCATCTCCAGCTCCAAACTCTTTCCTAAACCCCAGAAACGAATCTTCATCTTCCTACTCAATATCTCCACTTGGGTATCTAAGGGGCATCTCAAGCTTGACATGCTCAAACTGAACTGATCTTCTCCCACAGTTTTCCCCATCTCAGACAACGTTACCAGGTCAAAAACGCTAATTTCACCTTTGATCCTTCTCTTTCTCTCATATTCCATGTTATGGCCTGAAATGTTCCTCCCTCCCCCCACCCCCCCCCAAATTCACATGTTGAAGGACTTCAGAATGTGACTGTATTTGGAGACAGGGTCTTTATTAAGTTAAATGAGGTCATGAGGGTGGGCCCGGATCCAGTGTGACTGGTTTTTATATAATACGAGGAAATTTGGACACAGACACGTACAGAGGGAAGACACTGTGAACAGGCAGGAAGAAGAAGGCCATTTGTAAGCCAAGGCGAGAGACCTGTAACAGATCCTACCCTCACAGCCCTTAGAAGGAAATAAGTCTACTCACACTTTGGTCTTGGGATTTCTAGCCCCGAGAACTGTGAGAAAATGCATTTCCATTATTTAAGCCGCCCAATCTGTGGTGCTTTGTTATAGCAGCTCTAGCAAAGTAAGACTCATGTCTACTCCATCAGCAATTCCTGTTGGTTCCACCAGCAAAATATATACAGGATCCAGCTGTTTCCCACAATTCCTCTGACATCACCCTGGTGCACCATTGGCTCCCAATGGATTCTTCCAGTGGGCACCTAATTGGTCTCCTTGCTTCCACCAGTGCATTCCTACAGCTTATCTTCCATACAGAAGCCAGAGCGATCCTGTTAAAACGTCTTCACACTATATCACTCGTCTGCATCTCACTTGAGTAAAAAGTACAATGACCTGGAGGCCCTCCACCATTTGGGGCTGCACCTCTTGGTACTGTGCTCCTCTCACTCAGGTCCCGCTCATCGGCCTCCTTCCTGTCCTGGAAACTTGCAGCCATGCTCCATCTCTGGGCCTTCATACTTCCTATCCTTTCTACTAGGAACACTCTTCCCCCCCCACACACCTGCAGGGCCCATTCACGGACCTCCTTTAGGTCTTTCCTTGACAGCCATTTTCTCAAAAGAGCCTTTCCTATCCATCCCATTAAAACTGCATGTCACCCCCTGCAGCACTTCCTATTCTGCTTCCCAGATATATTTTGCTCCATAGCAGTTTGGTTTTGTTTTTATTTCCCCGTGTCACCTGTGCCTAAACTGAGCCTAGCACACTGTAGGCATATATGGGAGAATGGATCATTCGGTCCCAATTCCCTCCCTATATCCACACCCTCTGCCATATTACTTGGCAACATCCTTCCACCATGGCCTAGGTGACCTGCCTTGTCGTGCTTCCTGCCACTGGGCTCAATAATGTTACTTGCTTTGGTCAATGGGCTACTAGCAGACATGATGATGGGAGCAGAGGCTTAAAATGGGACTATTCATTAGAGCTTGCCTCTTGTGCTTTCACAATTACCACAAGAAAAATATACATGGAGTGAGTCATCAGTCCAAGGACAAAGGTGAATGTCACATGAAGCAGAGTTAAGATATTCAGTCACATCAGAGAAGGCCAGCCAGGATCAGCTGACAACTAGCCAACCACTGAAACATGAGCAAGACCAGCCCAGATCAACGAAGCCCAGTCCAGACCAGTTGACTCTCAGCCTCTCAACTCATGTACTTTTATAATAAGTGACTGCTACTTTGAACAGCTAAGGATTGGGGTGGCTCGTTATGTAACATTACTGTGCCAATATATAAGTGAAACAGCATGCAATAAATATTTGTTGAGAAAGAAATAAGTGTATTACAGCGATCATCATAAGCCCAAGGAGGTTTATAGACATACCTGTCTTATGAAGAAAACAGCACTAACCCATATTCTTGATGCTAGTCCTTTGTTCTAAATGCTGGAGGGCTATGAATAATTAAAGAGAGTCACCCTTAAAGTGCTTTGCTATTGACTGGCCAGGACACTAAACAGTGGGCCTACTTCTTTCTAAGTTTATTTTAAATTTTATGTTAGGTCCATTAAGCCAGGACTTCTGGCAGCAACACGACATCTTTTTAAACTTCTTTTATTATTATTATTGTTTTAACTTTTCACAAGTGATAAACAAAAGGAAGAATAAACACTAAGGACAATGACATCTGATCTATTCAGTGTAGGAACTGTGCACCCTCTTTCTTTGCTTTATTGCCACACCTTTCATTTCTGCGCCAAGTTACAGAGAGGCGCTTCCTTTTCCATCATTAGACTCTTTTGCCAAGTTCGAGGAACGTCCCTACAGCATGACCCTCCCATTTCATTCTCAAAGCATCAAATGCCTCAAGACTTCTCTGGCAGGACCACCAGAAACCCATAGCAGAAGGATTTCAGAGGAGAGGGAAAGACACCAAACACACCTAAAACAATCACTTCTATTTTATGTCATTTCTAGTAACATCAACAATTATGTACACCCCAGAAATGGGATCTGAGCAGAACTAATTTTATAAATGGCGTGTGCCAGCACCAAATCCCTCCACACCAACTTCCCTGCTCTACCTGCCATATACAGTGTACCTGACGATTCAGAACATTATTTCAAATTTAACCGGAAAACATCATGAATAGACATATATAAGGGTTATGAAATTACTAAATGAAGTATGTACACTGCAGGGAAAAATGTTAGATATGGAATAAGATTACCTTTCAGATAGGGCAAAGTTGGCTCTGCCGCCTTTATTTATCATGCAACAAGCCTAGCAGCCTGTGGATGTTGGCCTGGAACAGACTCACGTACCTACAGATAGACTGTCTCTGCTTAAGATACAGAGGACGTAGCCAGACTTTCTCTGATGTTCTTTCGCCTGAGTTCCAGACCAAATCCACCAGACCACAGGGTCCATCTCTCCCTTCTGCTAACGCTGCCCCAGGGCCTGCTGACCTGAATCCTACACCTACTCATCCCTATTTTTTTTCAGGAGGCAGAGGACGGGTATAAATCTTTAGTCCAATCCTCACTTTTGAAAAGGAACAAACCATTCTGGGCTACTACTCTCCCTTATCACTTCAGGGAAGGCCAGACAGGATGCCAGAGATAAGGAGACAGTGACTGAGTTGAAAGTAAGGAGGTGGGTGGAAAATAGGCATGACTATGAAAACAATAGAGAACCAGGGGCAGAGAGCTCTGTATCCCCGGCGGGGCACAGACCAGGATCCGTCTTTGTTAGGAAGGTCCCCGGGACATAAAGTTGGGTAGCACAGAAAGTCACGAGGCAGACAGATGGTGAGGGTTCTCTGGTCTACCTCCTGCCTCCAAAAACACGACTACTGCCCAAGATTAATGGTCATTTTTTTGTGTGTAGTTTTACAATGGAGATTTTAGTTTGCCATATTTTTTTTACTTTTTTGCCTTCGTGCGGCAAATTGGGTACTCTCCATACAAATAAAATATTTTTCCTTTACTTAGGAAGTAAGGCTAGATCCAAGGGACCTTTCTACATTAGTAAATAGTGTGGTCGGGCTTGTAAAAGTTTTTCTAGCCCTAAAAGTCTTCATAACTCATTTTATTACTTAATGATATCACACACACACATACACACACATACACACCTGTTTGCTGTGTGACTGTTTTGTTGCCTTTATTATATTGCAAAATTGTAGAGGCCTGAGTGTATCTGCCTTCTGTAGACAATATCAGGTCAGAACATGTGAGCAAAGAGTAAGCACTTGAAGATTCCCTTATGTGAAATTACATAAATTAGTAGTTTGGGCAACTTCAAGTAAATCAGCAGGAGGGGAAAAATCTGTCAGCAAGTTAGGAAAGAAAAGGCAAGAGGACTAAGAGGAATTCACTATCCATGGTTTAGAACCTGTCCCTCTGTCTCCAGGGACCAGCTGAAATGCGGCCTCCTTCAAGTCTTTCTTAGCCAGTGATGTGCTGGTAAATGTTTACAAATTGCTTTATGGAAAAAAAAAAAAAAAGGCCCTGATTTTTGAGGCATTTGCCGGTTCCATGGTACACTCTGCCTTGGCTGATCCAAACTACCAACGTGGACGGCACTGAACATAGAGTCAGGGGGAGAGGCGCACAGTCAGCTGCCACCAGCCAGTGTGAGCTGGCTCCTGACCCACTGTCCCAGCCCTGCTGTCAGAATTAGCCCTTACTTCTTGATCCTGTAAGTCTGTTTTTCAGTGTATATTAAAGCATGGACCTAATCCTGCCCGGCTAGCCTACCTTTTCCACTTCAACTATAAGATCCTTGAAGAGAGACACTGAATCTTATTTATTCACCACAGAGCCTTTAAAGGTAAAAAAAAATACATATAGACAGATATAGCTGGATAGATAGAAACATTTATATAAACGCACACAATCTTTCAGAGAATGTAGCTTTAAGAACGTTTGTTATTTCTCTTTGTATGTTCACACCCTCGGGTGCTCTGAAGCTCTGTGTTTGACAAAGCCCCTCAACACGTGTGGCAGAACCAACAGGAATGAAACCCCCAGTTTTTAAGCAGACTGCATTCCTCAGCTTCCTCTGCAGGGAAAAATGCCCATCGGACTGAGTCCTGGCCTTATAGAGCCAGGCCCTGCGATATAACCCCAAGAATTGTGTGGAAGCTTCTGAGAACTCTGGTTAGGAGGAAGCTAATACGTATTTTTTGCCTCTTCATTATCTTTATTCCTACATGCATGCAGCCTGGAATGGGCACATGATGGCTAATGCTGGAGCAGCCATTTTGTTCCAAGAGGAACCCTGGGAAATGGAGATTCTTGGTGGAATCAAGCAGACAGAAAGGTCCTGACACCACGAGGAGTCCATGGAACATAGGGCATCTATTAACCCACAGTGCCACCTCTGGCTAATTACAAAAGAGAGAAATAAGCTGCCATCTTGTTAAAGCTACTATCGTTCCAGGTGTGTTATAGCTGAAATTTATCTTGAAGGAGGTACTATGGCACAACATAAGAAAGATTTGCAACTCTGAAAAATACCACAAGTCAATAAGTCTCGCTTCCAGAGTGATCCAGAGCCACTTCACAATATAATGGCACAAGGCCTTCTTACTTGTCTCTCCAAAAGTTGTGACCCCAATGTCCACAAACATCTTCAATCCCAGTCTTCACATGATCAAAAAACTAAAACAGAAAAAGCAGGCTAATTGATTAATTTTTACCTGAAATCAGTAATTTCCACTCTATTTATATCATGTCTAAATTTCAAAGAGCCAGCCCTGGTGGGCTAGTGGTGAAGATTCGGTACCCTCACCGCAGCAGCCTGGGTTCATTTCCTGGTCAGGGAACCACAACACTCATCTGTTGGTTGTTGCACTGTGGCGGCTGCCTGTGGCTGTGAAGCTGAAAGCTCTGCCACCAGGATTTCGAATACCAGCAGGGACACATGGTGGGCAGGTTTCAGCGGAGCTCCTGGACGAAGACAGACTAGGAAGAAGGACCTGGCCACCCACCTCCAAAAAAACTGGCCATGAAAACCCTGTGAATAGCAGTGCAGCATTGTCTGATATAGCGCCGGAAGGAGAGAGGATGGCGCAAAAAAACCAGGCAGGGGTCCGCTTTGCTGTCCACAGGGGCGCTGCTGACTCGATGGCACTAACAACAAAAGACACTTCAAAGACCCTGATAGTTTTTGCTCTTTGGTTTTTTTGTTTGTTTGTTTTTACTGAAAGCAATAAAAAACAATTTCTCTTCAAACAAATTGATGTTTTTCATACTAATATTATGCAATTCTTAGATTATTTTTCTCATCATAACAATTTGTTCATAATTTTGGAAAACATGAACTATGGTAATAATGTTCAAGTACAAACATTTTCAGGTGGAAAGAAGCAGTAAAAGGGGGTTCCTTGTCCCTCTGCTCGTGTGGGAGTTGGGCAGGCGAACCTGGAGAAGCCAGTGTGGGGCCCCCTCCACTCTCCTCCCCCAGTGCAGGCCTTTCTCAGCCTCCCTCTCTCGTACCCTCGGCCATTTCCCTCTTCTTTAGGAGATGAGGACCTCGGTGCCAAGCTGTTTGACTTATTCCAACAATTTTTCTTTTCTCACTTAAATAGTTATTCCACATTAACACCTACCCGACAATGGATTTCTTCACTCACAGCTTGCTGTTTCTTATTGGACCTCTTCACATCAAGAAACTCCACCAGTGGTCGGATAGTTATTCCCTTCACAGGAAAAAAAGCGAAGTTTCTTAAAAAATAAAATTAAAAATTCAAGAATAACTTTTATTCTCCTAAGCTTTGATAACCAACAAAAAATATCCTGCTCCCAAGATTTAAGACAGTATATGCAACATTTTGTTAATTTTTTCTTCCTCTTTAATAGCTGGCATATCTCCAGAGGGCCATGTCCCAACACCTGCTATTAGAAACAAAATAATGGACCATATGCAGGAGAGTGAAAAGTAATTCTGAAAAATAGAAAAACAAAGCAATTCTAAAAAATCATAAAGTACTATCCAAGTCAGAGGAATCACCCACTTGTTGCATTAGCCATAGAAAACTTTTCAATGATTCTTTCATTTATTAGAACAATTTTAATCGAGCTGCTTCTGCATACATGTCAGCAGCTTGAGGATAGGGACACAAAGCTGGAGAGCTAAGGACCTCAGCTTCAGGACCTCGCAGTCTTATGGGAAGAAGGACTTAACCAAAAACAGCTACAAGTGGGGAAAGGAGGAATGAGAGAGGTGCACAGGGAGGGTCCACAAAGGCTTCGTAGAGAGGGAGCACTGAATAGGAGTCTTAAAAGATGTCGGAAGCATATCCCAGCAGAGACCAAACACCAGCAAAAGATGACAAGAGCACAGAGTGGTGTGGGCATGTTCATCGTGAACTTAGAAAAGGGAGAGAAACAAGCTTTTCAGTAAGGTAGGAAGAGGAAAAGAATTCCTTAATAGGATAAAAAATACCTGCCAGAAATCTATAGTGAACATCCGACTTAACAATGAAACATTAAAATTACTTCCTCTAGAACTGGGAACAACGCAAGGACACTCCCGATCTGCGGTCTGACCCAGCTCTGCTCGTCCCAGCCAATTACATAAGAGACAAAGGCAGGAGCACAGATACCGAAAACAGATGACAAGATTTTTGTGGCTCAGGGATGACCTATTTTTGGTCCTAAAAAATCTACAATTCTTTTTCATTTAAAAATAACAACTTTAGAGAAGTAATGGCATAAAATCAACATGCACAAATTCATCCCATATACTAATTTAAAAAAAGAAACAAAATAAACACCTAAACAATAGCAATGAAAACTGGATAGAGAATATATAAAATAAAATACTAATATATAATAGTATACTAGATAGATACTAAATATCTATTTATACTTATACACTCTCTCTACACATGTATATATATACATAATCCTACATGAAACGCACAAACCCTTTACAAAAAGAACCATAAAACTTAACTAAATTAAGATATTAAAAAGATTTGAGTTTTAAGAAGACACATACAGTTCCTAGACGGGATTACTTAACATATTATGATGAAAATTTTCTCTCAATGTATATGCAATATAATTCCAGTAACATATTCCAAAGTGTTTTTAACAGAACCTGAGAGGTTAGTTCTAAATTAGTCTGGAAGAGTAAATGTAATCGGAAAAATTTAGAAAAAGAATACTGATACGGAACTTCTAGATGTCAAAACAAACAATCAGCTAATATATGATACTGATATATGATACTGGCACTAAAATGAGTGAGAATGTGGGGTCAAGGAAGATCCCCCAAGTTTCTTGCTTGGTTGGTAGATGGCTGCCACTACTTGGTACGAAGAATCCATGTATCAAAGGGGTTACCGGACTGTGGCGGGTGAGGTGAGAGACCCTCCCTGCCATGCATTTGATTTCTGTCTCACCTTTCTGCATGTCTTCAAGTTTTCAAGAATGCTTTGATAATATAAACTAACTGTGATACTCACGCACACATTTTTTACAGGAGATCGTCATTTTGTTCCATCAATCTACCTTTGGGCCTTTTTCAGCTTAACTTTAGCTTTCTGAAGTATGAACTGATTTTGACCAGTTTGGGATAAGACATACCTTGTGTTCTATTTGCATTTCAGTCTGCCACTTTGAAATAACATAGGAGGTAATAACAGTTTTCCAACCAACACATATTCTGTAATTTTTCACTTATGTAAATGAAAATGGGTCTAAACATGGGGTTTATGGAGATGGGTGATTTTACTGAGTTCCAGATTCCATGACGCCACCAGTTTAATAATAGCTCCAGGATAAAAATTAACAAAATCAATAAAATTTTTAATACTATATAATGTGTTCTAAGGACACTAAGTATTGTTTCACATGCTTTGTTTCTATCAATATTCATTTAGTAAGTAATAATGAGTGCCTGGTATTTGTAAATATAGGAGATAAAAATAAGGAAAGGACATAGGGCCTGCCCTAATCCTTATGTGGATTCCTTCCACTAGACGGATAATCTAGAAGTGAACACACTGTCACACATAAAACTAGACTGATCTACTATGGAAGCCAGTGTGGCCTGGTGCCCAGATCAATCGAGTTTCTAAAAATACCACATATTTTAGTTTATAATTAATAAAACATATTGATTATATGCAATGGAGATTGACACTGTCTTTTAAAAACATGTATTTGTTTAAACAGTTCCTTTTAATAGTCACCCCTTCCTCTGAGTTATTTACTGTCGTCATGTCATGCTCAGTAGGACCTAGGGGATGGCTTCTGCCTTCCTTCCTCGCCCTCCCTTCTCCCCTTCCTTCCTTCTTCAAGCTATCTATAGTGGCGGTAGAGTGCGTGGCATCTGTGTACATTATAGAAAGTTCCCCAAGCTCCATGTTATATTCTAGGAGCTTGTGTGTCTGGTTGGGAGAGAGAGAAAAAAAAAACTTATTTTACCACGTTGGAAAATTCCTAATTTAGGTCACCTGGGGAGAAACCTGATAAGGCTTAGAAAACAGCTTGTTACCATCTACATAGGTCAAAAATATAAAGAAACCCCTTAGTTTTCCATCAAACCACTGAAAAACATATTTGCAAAACACAAGTTAAATTTTCAGCATTCATTCCGCTTCGGCACAATAAACAGAGCACCTGGGAGCCAGGCCTGAGGGAAGGGGCTCAGCCACCAGCCGGCCCCGCCGCGCAACAGCCAGCCAGGAAGACTCCTTTTCTACCTTGTTCCACCTCTACTTTCTGCCCACCCTGCACCCTTCTGCTCTCAGTAACACGAGGAAGGACAAAGAACTGCCATGAGAACAGACACTGAGCCTTCTTTCGGAAGACAATAATTTCTTCTTTTGTTTTCTTTGGCATTAAATTTTGCAAAAAGAAAAAAAAAAAGAGGTGGGAGGAACTGTCTTATATTTCTTTGCTGACTTAGTAGACAATTTCCAGGAAAACCTAAAGAAACTATTTTATTAAAAAATATCACTATCATTGCTATGCTATCCTCCACAAGGCTTTTCTCACATTACAAAGCCGGTCACAGAGGTCATGAGCCCAGCGGTACACTATTTGTTTTGGAATAGGGGAATGGAAGGAGAATCATAAAAGCGTCCCCGTGGGTGCCCACACCCCTCACTCCGTGGTCTCAGCCCCCTCTGTCTCTCTTTCTTTCAGGACTTATCATCTTGCACAGTCACCAGCTGTCATATGTCTGTCTCTTCCCCTAAACCATGCTTTCCTTTTACTGTGTCATCAATGTCTCTCTCTCTCCTGTACCACCAGTGTTCAGACACCCTGCTATGGCTCCCATCTGCAAAAACCAGAAACAAAAGCCCTTTTTGGGCACGTATTCCCTCTGGCTACCACCTCCTTCTTCTATCAGATCTCAACAGGGTTGCCCGGATCTCCCACCCCCAATTTCTCTCTTATCCTTCTCCCTGGAATCCAATCAACGGGGGTTTCGTCCTCACCATCTGCCACAAGTGCTCGGTGACATGGCCACTCATCACCCAGTGCTGCATCCCACAGTCCCTTCTCTGTCCCTAGCTCACCTGACCTTGCCGACGCATTTGTCACAGTTTCTAGCAACTTCCTTAACACTTGCTTCACTTAAGTGCTGCATAGACCCCCTGATCTTCCTCCCACTTTATTCTTCACCTTTTCCAGTCTCCAACGCTAGTTCCTCAACATTTTCTCGACTTCTAAATATTGGCATGCACTCTTTACTATGCTCTTTCTACACTCACTCCCTGAATAGTTTCTTCCAGACTCATGCTTTTAAAACCATCTATATGCTGTTGTTCTTATTGCCATCAAGTCCATTCTGACTCCTAGCGCCCCTGTGTATAGCATAGTGGAGCCCTGCTCAGTCTTTCTCTGCCATCCTCTCACCTTCCGGCACTCTTTCAGACAATGCTCCACTGCTCTTCACAGAGTTTTCATAGCCAGCTTTTTTGGAAATGGGTATGTGGTCCTTCTTCCGAGTCTGTCTTAGTCTGGAAGGTCCACTGAAACCTGCCCACCATGGGTGACCCTGCTGGTATTTGAAATACCGGTAGCATAGCTTTCAGCATCACAGCAACACTCAGCTGCCACTGTATGACAAGTGACAGATGGATGGTGTGGTTCTCTGATGGGGAAACGAACCCAGGCTGTGGTGGGCTCTGAATCTTAACCACTAGACCACCGGAGCTGACTTGTGTATACTGATAAGATTCAAATTTATATCTCCCCTCTGTCTTCTCCCATAAATTCTTGACCTATATATACATTTGCCTATTCAACATCTCCATTTGACATCAAATAGGCAAATATGCATGTCCGAAATGTACATGTCCAAAACCAAACACCTGATTTCTCATCCTTCAAACCCAACACTCCCCTGGTACAAAATTAAATTTCACCTTCTGTTACCTAGTTGCTCAGTCAAAACCCCATAGAACTATCATTTATTGTTTTTTTATCACATCTTAAATTATTTACCTACATTTTTCCATCTTAAAAAAATCCTTGCCATTTATTGTAGGAACAAAATAAATTTTTCTGAATTCCAGGGAATGCTACCTAGTAATGGTTTATGTTAATTAAATATAGAGATTTTTCATTATATATATATATATATAAAACAAATGACCATTTATTTAACAAATTAAAGCACATTTGAAGGCCCTCACAATGTCTATAAAATAGTTGGCATCATCATTTCAGTTTGAGA